TGAGACTCCTACCATTCATCCTCCAGATCTTGACCTGCCTGTCGTCAGCGCCAGACACGATGAGGGGCATGGTGGGGTGGAAGGCAGCCCAGTTGACCCCACGGTCGTGACCCTGAAAGCAGATACCCAACGTCAAGACGCACAACACCAGCCAGCACTGACACCTCAACACTAACACACCAACTACCCTCTCTGAAATAAATCTGTCAATTACATCAACAACAAATACATATTCAGGGGACATGTGTCTTTATAATTAATGCAAATAGGTGTATGTTTATTAAAAGACATAGAAAGTGTTCGTTTGAGAATATTTTGGACCTTTTTACTTTCACCACACCTTCACTTCCTCTCTAACCAAGATGAGTGTTCCTGGTGGTGTCCCAACTTTCCTTTCGTTGGATTGAACAACACTGTTATTGATGTTAAGACCCAACACAGGGGATGTTTTTTTATTTCCAAAGGCTGGACAGACCTCACTAATAACTCAGGACTCCAAACTTTCTTTTATAGCACTGCCAACATTTGCGACATTAAGACTAAATCAACTTAATCTCTTGGTATTTTCCATGAAAAGGACTTGAAGTTTAAAGTCAGTGACGATTTGGAAAATGTCTCTACAATGCTAAGCTTGTTTCTCTTTGGCTTTACAGTGGGAAAGAAACATTTAAAAAGTGATGTTTACTCTAACCTACCATCATTTTACAGGTGTAACTGGAGGATTTATGTATTACTGTAGATTTAGGCAAAAGAGCATGGGCACAAAGAGGCGTCAATAAAACATTTTTGAAAAGAAGTACAAAACGTTCTGTTGACCACCTGTAAAAGTCAAGGTTTGATTCCCTAACACAACAAAAAAATATGACATGAGACACTCACCTCTAGAACATGCTTGACAACAGCATCCGAGGCACCGAACAAGTCGACACCAGAGATGCCGCGCACGTCCGTCTCCACAGCGCCGGGAGACAGGTTCTTCTTCCTCAGACCTGGAACCAACAATCAGGGCATCGCGCGCAAGGAAGGAGCCATATTCATGTTACACAAGGCACAACCACAATACAGGGGGAGGAAGAAAAACATGAAAAACAAGGAACAACTGGTTAACATTGTGAAATGTAAAGCAACATCACATGAGAGGAGAAGGAATTCTTAAGGGGGAGATCTGTTGGACTACTGAACACACACACAGGGTGGAAACACGTCAAACACAACCTCTGCTCCCTCATTTCCCGCCAACTTGAGTCTGGAAACAATCATGGCTGTAAGAGTCCTGTTGATTGGGTTAGTGAATCACAGGAGACAAATCACAATTACCCAGGATTTGATTGGATAGCAGAGAAAGATACTGATTACTTTCCAGACTCAAATGAGATCAGGAGTAAAATGATTGAGAAAGCATAGGATGCATTCATGATTCCTGCCCATTAACAAAAAATGTGGTGAACAGGTAGTTCAACAGCACAAAGAGACGGCAATAGGAACCCATGTACAGGTGTGGATGTTTCCAGGGGGAGCATGGGATAAGGTGGACACAGGGAGCGTGTGGCTGATGAGGGTGGGATGGGGCTTGGTGTTGTAAGGACGTGCTCTGATGGGGCGTCGGATGTCAGGAATATGAGGATTTATTCTGAGGCTCATGCATGTTTCTGCACAGATGCTTAGGTCACATGCAGTTTGTAGAATCGGACACGTCATTAATGGGTTAGAAATTAAGTTGGTAACAATATGGCGACTTTTTCTGCAAGAAATATTAACACTGTTGTATATTTACAGTTATATTTTAAGAAGTAGAGCCGGCCGTGCAAATATCATGCCAGGAAGAGTAAACAAATATTTCGAAATAAGTACATGGTGAGTTTTGGTTTAAAAAAAAGAGCCTTTTCAAACCAGTTAGTTGTTACCGCTATGGTTTTTGATGCATTTTATACCAATGCAAAAAAGGTCTAACAGTATCGGAAGAGGCATTAACTTCCTATACTGGAAGTATGAGTGCAAAGTGAGACTTTCGTGTTAAATGGATGCCGTGCATTCGAGTCAAGCGTGACATTTGTGCGCTATGGTTGAACATGGTATGATATTAAAAGCAACTTTTAAAAGCTGTATGTATAAATACAATCATGCTCTATGCTAGTAATGTGAAAGCATGTAAATCCCCAGGACAGAAGACAGATCGACATGTTATGCATCGTCACATGTAAGAAAGTGATAGTAGATGCAAGTGAATTAATGGTTTGGTTAGAGAGAAGACAAGAAACATGGAGCAAGAAAATCCATCAACAACACACAGATTCAAAGAGCATGCAGAGACACAGAAACACCTCCCACTTTTACTTAAACCTCTCTGATTTCTTTACTCCTTTTGGATTCAGAACACATTTATACAGTGCAGTATTTTGTTAGAAAATACCATACTTAAATATGTTGACAATCGACTATTTCCCTTTCTGTCTTTCCCCTTTGTGTCTTTCCCAAAAGGAGGTGTTTCTGCAGACAGCCCATAGAGATTTGTCCTACAATAAGGAGAGGAAGAATATAGGAATTTGATTGATCCGGTTCCTGCTTCTTCCTCGTCCTGTATACCACTCTGCCCTCCCACCCCTTCCTCCACCCAGCCCGCTGTCCTCTGGTCAGCCGTCCCCGGGCCCTCACCGGAAATATCCCACACTCGCACGGTCTGATCCAGACTGGCGGACACCACCAGGTCCTCAGAGGGGTGGAACTGGGCGCACATCACATAGTGGTTATGGCCGGTCAGCACACTGTGGATGAGGAGAAAGAGGAATGTAGATATAAAAACATATAAGAACAAAGGTCTTCTTAAAATGTTCAGGGTAACAATCATGATAATATTCATTTGTTCCCATAATTGTTAAAAGAGAGAATGAGTCTTACCAGACGCAGGTCCTGGACTGCCAGTTCCAGATGCGAATGGTCTGGTCATCTGAGGCGCTCAGAATCCAGGGGTAGTCCTACAGAAAGGGAAATGGTTGAAGTAATTAATACATTTCAGATCGACATGTTTTTGCATGGATGACAATTACAAAAAGTAGGAAGAAGATGTTTTTTAAAGTGGCAAAACAACTCACATGGTGGAAGAAAGTGGTTCTGATGTAGTCCAGGTGCCCAAGCAGAGTGAAGAGGCAGCGTCTCAGCTTGTAGTTCCACACCTGGTTGAAAATATCAATATTTACTCACTATATACATGTATAACGTACTACTGATGTAACCTAATATCTATATGGAATAATACTACACTTGATTTGTTAATTGACCCATATGGACAAAGTCTAGTTCAACGGCGACACTGCCAGTGGACTTGAACAACGGACGTTTTTGTTGTTGTTTTATGTTGTGTGCTATATGTTGTTGTGCTTCTTAGATATTATTTGTATGTAATATGTGCATGTTATTTGCTCATACGTTTCAGTTTCATGAAATGTCCTTGTGACAACATGCCAGTGTAGTTAAGGCAGTCTCACCTTAATTTTGTAGTCATCTCCTCCAGACACAAACAGAGGCTGCTGTTTGTGAAAATCAATTCCTCTGACGGGGCCTGTGGGAAGAGAAGTATCAATGACATCATGTAACAATCTATATTAGCATAACACTGGATCATCAGCTAAAACTCTGGCTTCCTTACCATCATGCTCGTCAAACTTGTCAATCAGTGTGCACATCCGATAGTCCCACAGCTGGATGACTCCGTTGTGCAAACTTGCAAGAACCCATGGCCTCTTAGGATGGAAACTCAGGCCTGAATTATAAAACAGCTGATCAACTATCTCATAAAGGCAGGTGAAATCAGACATATACACCTAAAGCAGTGACAGGTCGGCTTAATAACTGTTTAATGACAGTAATTAAGCTGTATCAAGTGGTCAAGTTTAGCTAAATACTGTAACGGAGTTAAAGTTAGTTGTCGTTACTGTAGTACTAGAAAGCTAAAGAGCGTACAGTTAAGTGTCCGTTCAACAACAATCAAATTGAGCACATTGCGTGACATGATTGCTTTAGTTTGGATTTTGTAACATATACATATACTAAAACAAGCATTGAATTAATTCACAGGCGTTACTTTAACATAATAAACAAGTGAGCCGGATAACATCAGTTGCTAACGTTAGCTTCTAAGCTAACAGATGGAACACTCTTACCTTTGACACGGGCCGACTTCGTCTCGAATTTGGTTAACATCTCGACCTGATGTTATACAAGTCTCAATGTTAATGATATCGTTTAATATAACTCCACACGAATGATTAAAACAAGTGATTAATCCAACAGACAGGTGAACTCAGGCGGTCAGATCGCCTTCGCCCCTTTAGCCGATTCTCCTTTTTCCTGACACGTAGCCCGTTTTGTCTTCCGGTAACGTGAACAATAAAGTTTTGCAGTGAGACTTTGACGCAGAAAGCTCCACGGCGGCGGAAGGTAGAAATACAACACGTAGAACTGTTATGACAGGAGACCACATCGGAGTTCTAGTGACTTTATTATGGTATCTAATCTAGAAAATCTATTTCTACAGTCTGGTTAGACTTAGTTTAGACCGGTGTCTTTGAGGGAACTGTACACACAAGTCTGTGAAGGATTAAAGCTAAAATATCTAAAGGCCTCCATTTTCAAATACATGTGCAAGTAATTAGAACATAAACAAATATTGATAGTAAATATAGAAAATATATATGTTTTTAATTTGACAAATAACCTGTTTGTAATATTCATTCATTTTCACAAATTATTATTTTACAATTTATTTTCTGTTTACAATTATTTCAGTTCTTATTTGTATTAAAGGTTTTCTAAGTGCAGTATTTACCTCCTCTACTTAGTAAAGAGTACCACCATGCATAAATACTCTGTTATCACTACTTTTATAAACTGATCATAGCTTTGTATGCAAAAGTGATCATATTTAATAAATACATAAAGTACCATTACATGGAAATAAGTGGAATAATGTATAAATTGCAATGATAATCCACAACAACAACAAATATTGCATGATACCATTATTTTATTTCATATATGTACAAAACAAAACAAAATAGCGTCAAATAACAGGATGCATTTTTTAACGGTGCTCTCGGCGTGTTTCCATCGGCCCTGAGAGTTAAATAGATTGCACCCCCCATTATGGACGTCCACAGAAGCCTCCCCGCCACTCTGACATATTTCAGATCTCTTTTCAGTGCATGGCTGACTGCATCCTTTCATAGCACCCCTTTATTATACAGGTGTTGATGAGCTGATGGTCGTGTGATTTCTAGATGTCTCTCTGTGGTCACAGCGGTACATTCAGTCCACTGGCAACAGAAGCTGGTGAGAAGAGGCTGCGAGGGTAAACAAACCCACCAAGCACAGCCGACATGTTATAACAGGCTGTAGATGTTTCACCCACAGTGCATTTGAATGAATTACAGCCATGTTTTTATCCTTGCGTCACATCATTTAATGCTAAGCACTCTGCCTGTCTCCTTTTCCGGGAAAGAACATGATGTACTTTTACCGGATGGTGCCGGATAAGTATACGCGTTCAGGTGGTAAACACTCCAAATACCCCTCAATTTTTTATCTTTCCTAGCAGGGATCCCATACCAGAGAAAACATCACTCTGCAAATTATAAACACCGGGAATCACAGTAACTCTACACTATAACGATCACTGTAATCACAGCAAAAGGCATACGGGAATCATCATCTCACTTCAAAGAAATTCCTGGGAATGGGGGTTAAAACTCTTGGGGAATGGCTCTCGTTAAATTTAGCTGGCTGAATTACAGTAAACGCTTTATTCCTCCTTAATCTTTTAATTTTTTTAATAATTAACAAATGTACACTCCTTTTTTCACAATTTCATTACACGTTAATAAGTATGTATCTGGTTAGTCACATCCTCCACAGCCTGCACAGGATCAGAGGTGTGTGTTTAATTAAGTGGTAGTTGGTGTAAACATTGGGTGATATTGCAAAAATTCCCATCATTTAAAAACTATTATGTGATTGGGTGAATGATAAACTTAAAATAATAATTTAAAGTAATTTTGTAAAAGGCACCATTTTTACCTGTTAAGTGTTTTTGATAGATTTGACCATGACGATAGACAGTATTGTAAAAACAGCATGAAGAACGGCAGTGCTATTTTCTTTTTAAAGGAATGCTGTTAAAACCGTTAATGACTTGCAGCAACCGCTGACAAACTGATGCAGGGATGTTAAAATGTTCCGAGTTGTGCGTTCAGTGATTTAAGACAGAAGAGAGTGTTCTTGTGTGTGGTTCCTGTTGGTTTTGGTGCCTCTTCCTGTTGTTGTTTCTGCATCCACACACTTTCTGTTTTAGAGGGAACCGTTTGACAGTCAGGTCACACTCCTGCCTGACCTTTGCTTCACACTCCTTCGATCCCGGCCTGTCGCTGACGCACAGAGTGACTCTCTGGTTTAAGTCCTTCAGGTAGACGGCAGCTCCACCCGATCACATGATGGAGCACTGCTCTGCCGCCCCAGCTCCTGAGACTCCTGGGAGATTGAGGGACTCCATGTCAAAGTTAAAGCCTGGAGGCTAAACGGAAAAAGAAAAAAGGACAATCAAGAAACAAATCCGATTTTTCCAAGTAGTGGTAGCTATTCCTTTAATATCTAATATATTGCAATTTTGGATAGTTATACGAGTTTTGCACCAGTATAATTATGTACCTTTGCTTGTAGAATATTTAAATTGTTTGGTTAGTTTATAATAGAAATTCTGAAAGTGATGTAAAAAATAGACCCAGTGCGATTTATGTGGAGTGAGCACGGCACCAGACTTCGTTGAAAAGATAACCTTTTCTTGCTACATTGCTTGACCGTACCGTGATAGATCAAATGTATTCTGATTCGAAGTATAGTTAATGTGGATTTGGAAAACTGACTGGTAAACATTTGGAAAAGTAACAGATAAAGAAACTTGAAGAAAAAAAAAGAGATTAGGATTTGGTGTGATTTAATTGTGTACATGTCTAGATAATTTGTATTATTATATTGTATTTTGTACATTTTAAATTATTAACTAAGGTCATAGACATATACACACAACATTGTTTTTTTGTTGACAGAGCAGTGGAAAACTTACCGCATCACCTGCCAGCTCTTTGGGTGGTTGGCCCAGGTCTTGCAGCTGAAGGTAAAAGTGTTAAATTCTGCGATGAGTTTCGTTACGAACAAACCAACTTCCATTGACATTAAAGTAAACAAGAGAACAGTTTGTAAGCTATGCAGACTGGAAAAATGTAATGGCAAGTAACATCATTCTCTTTAAAGGTGGGGTAGGTAAGTTTGAGAAACCGGCTCGAGATACACTTTTTGTTATATTCCATGGAATGCTCTTAACATCCCGATAGCAATGAATATCTGAAGTGCTTTGACAATAAATCCATAAAAAAAGTTCATCTGTGGAAGCTGTAATACTGTAAAAAGCACGACCAATAATTTGAGCCGGCCCGGCTAAAATAACTGGATGGCCTACCTGCCTGTCAGCCTTCCATCTGTGCACAAACTTATCTCGTGCCCTCATTGGTCATGTGCCCGTTCGTGTGTGTTGGAGGAGGGGCTCTGTAAGGAAGTGGCAGATTTTTTCCGGCTGTGTATTTTCAAATTCTTGCGCACTCGAGCTGGTTTCTCCAAAATGACCTACCCCACCTTTAATGTATAGTATCTTATTCATCACTGCCTCAGTCAAAAGCAGAGTGTGTGTACCTTTTGCATGAGATCCATGATGCCCTCAAACGTGCCGTCTTTATCTGCTGCCCCACTTTCCTCCTTCTCGAACTGATTACAGATCTCTCCCATGATTTTGGCCTGCTGCTCATAGCGCTGGTAGTCCTCCGGGCTGAGGCTTGGCTTGTTGGCCTCCAACCATTCTGGGTACTGTGAGGGTGAGAGGCATTTATCAGTGACACTTGGTAGAGGAACAACAGACTATAGTGAATGCTAGGGAAACAGATGCACACCTTAGCAGTGATCTCTTTGAGAGACGGATAAAGCACTTCCTTAGAGAGCAGATTCTGCATGATGGTCTGCATGATGGGCAGGATGTTCCCGTCGTCACCGCCTCCTTCTCCACCCTCCTCCAATCCTAGGCCTTCAAGCGCCTTAACAAGGTCGTCTCCTGCGAGTCCGGATGTCTGTAAACAACACAGATAGTTGGGGAACTGCTCTATGTCTGAATCACTCTAAATAACAATCAATAGATCCTGATTCACTCACCTGCAGGTTGTCCGCATTTTTGGCCAGGCCACGAAGGGTATCTTTAAGACAGGAAGTGAATTCTTGTTGGGAGGCGGTGTCAGTGCCTATCCAGAGAACACACATAACATTTAGGGTACAGAAACAGAACAGTAAGCAGAGGAACATATCAAAACTACACATGACCCACTGTAGACCTTACCAACTTTGCCAGCTGCTTCTGACAGTTTATTGAAGTGCTGCAGTAACTCTGGCTCCTCACTGGCTAGCTCGGTCATGGCCTTCTCCCACTCCTCCTTTGCTTGGGAAGCCATGTCCCCCTCAAAGAGAGTCTCGAAGAGTTTGCAGTCTTCAAGCATGGGGGGCTGCACAGGTGAATAGAAAACATATTTATAGACACCTCAGGAAACACTGAGTGCTCACACCCACCTTTTGAAAAGAAAAGAATAATACTTTCTGTGCTAAATAACCAATTTGCCATCACACTCAACTTGATAATGGATTGACTGTCTTTCTTTAATGGACTTATATAAGTTGTTTATTTTGTTCCCTTGACACAGTTGCAACCTTTTTTGCATCTAAAAAGTCCTTCTTGGTAAGCAGTGAACTTTTCTGGGGGGGTGAACTTTGTAAACTTGTCCGGTTACACAACAAACAACCAGCTGATTGACTGTGGCAGCAGCAAAAGTAAATAAGTTACAAAACTAAGACAACAAGGGATCAGGAAACTGCCAAACGAAGAAGGACTAATAACAAACAGACAAACACTTCAGTTGGAGACAGCGGCTTAGGTTTTAAGAAAAAGTAAGTAGTCTGACTTGTTTATTATTAATGCCTTTCTTTTAAAACCTACAAAAAAAAGGGACATTCAAATGCCCATATGTTTTCCTTTACAGTTTTTAACAAGGAAAATAAAGCTTTTGCTGTTCCTTTGAATGCTAGTCTCTCAAATTCCTTCATCTTAAGGTTGAACATTTCTAAATTCATACACATTTGATTGACAAGCAGCAGCCAGATGAGAAGAACAATCCAGTTAGGAGAGAAAATACAGTTAGAAGAAAAGGTGTAGCTTTGATTGTCTGCATTATACAGGCATCACATAGCAAACAGACCTTCTCTGGACCGCTGGCTGAGGAGGAAGCAGCAGCAGGTTCAGGGGCTGGAGGGACTGCTGTCTTGTCAAAGTCATCCAAAGCACCTAAAAGAAAGGGATAACATTATAACCATGTCAATGGGCGTTTAAGGAGATTTCGAGGAGTCATTTTACAACACAAATGTATTCATTTAGCCATTATTTCTCTATTAGTTTAAGCCCAAGCAGCAGAAGAGGGATAAGGTGTATATAAAATGTCTCCAAACAACTTGTGAAGAAAACTAGAAACCACTTTTTGTGCCCGATATCTATCTTCATATCTTGTATTTCTACTCTGGTAATGCTGTGTGTTTTGTGTAATGCGTCTTATTTGAAGCAATCAATTACATATTTTAAGTTGTCTTATATTTGTAATTGTATGAATATAGATGAAACATGGGCTGATTCATTTCTAATGACATTTTAGCTTTTCATTAAGCAAATATAATGACATGGTCATTTTAAAGGCTTGTTGATCCTTTTTGGTATAAATGCTTTGGTTCAGCACCACAATGGTCTCGAATATTAAATAAAGATAATTCAATCAACATCAGTAGGGTTTATTGCAGGACTATTGTTTTACAATGCATTACTTTCAGTGGACTTAATGAACTTGCAATTGGAAGTTTGTCAAATACAGATATAAAAACATGTTTACAGTGAGTAAACACCATGATCTGAGCCCAACTGGGATTCAACACATGAACACAAAGGCGAGTAAGGACAAACACAATGCTATAACTATCAGTTCAGCCGCCATGTTAGATAATCAGGAGGATTTTAATATGTCTAACAGCAACTGTGGATTAAGTCAAAAACATTCAAGGGCAAAGATAGTGTGTGGAAACCGCTCTGTGGATCTGGGTGACAGCTAGCTAAGAAAGCTAACAGTGTGCCATATCACACAAACACATGCAATAGAAACAAATACTTTATTTATTTAGCACATGAAATCAGAGGCTGGCCAGCGACAACTTTAAAATAATGTTATTTTGTCGATATTTGGCACCCAGACGAGACATGGGAGGTCCCAGAGCGCATAAGCTAACCCCCCTGACACCGGGGAGAGAGCCAAATCACAGCCGATTATTAGGACCCAATACCCGGGGCTCCTGAGAGTAAAGACACGGTCGCGGTGCAGACTTAATGTCAACACTTACTGTCCAATAATTCGTCCAATTCTGCATCGTGTCCAGTGGACTGCTCTCCTGTTCCTGACGCCATGATGTTACCCTTTCCTACAAACACCCACTGGGCTCTGGAAACTGACGCTTCTGTCGTGACTAAACGTCGCATACACGATTACGTCATCACGTCATCAGGGCTGGATTTGAAATCTGGCGCCATCTGGTGGCAATAAGGCCACAATAATGATAATACAAAATATAAAATTAAAATATGAATACAAAAATAAATATGAATAATAATACAATTAATAATAACAATCATCATCATAAAAATAATCAGAATAATACCATTTATATAACTTTTCATAACAAATAACTAGGTGTTTTGCATGAAAATATATAGACAATCATTATAAATACAAAAAAACAAAGTCTCAAAGTTTTAAAACCATGAACAAAATAAGCTCAACATGCTTTTGCCAACATTTTCAATTTACAACTTCATTTATTTATATAGCAGCTGTGCTTTATGTGATAGAGGAAAAGACAACCAAAGCAAACAACAACACTGTACAAATGTTAAAATATCTTTAAATAAACAGTAATATAATTAATAAAATAATACTACTATGTAAAAACCCATGTTTAAAGATGAAAACTTAAGAAAATGACATTACTCCAAATAAGCTGTATTAAAAATAGCCTTATGCCTTTACAATCATTTTTTCAGATAGTGCTTGTAAATGCATTTCTTTACTTAAATAGACTACTAGTTTTATATACAACGTAGATATTATAAACAACGTAAGGAATTTAAGCACATCAGTCTTGTGAAAATGTGCATATGAGAGCATGCCTTCCACCGTTTCCTGTCTTTCTGAGAGTTTTTTTTAACAGGGGCAGGAAACGCATCAATTTATAGAAAATAAAAAACGGTTGTCATGGGTAACAACTGCTGTAGCTAAGCAACGCAAACAAATAATCCCAGAATGCGATGATTCAGATTCTAGCATCGACAAATATTTAGTATTATCTGGACCGTGTGGTTAGTAACGCTGATGAAACCATGTTAAAAATAAACCTGACGTGATGTTCATGAGTAATTCCTGTTAGGGGGGTTTTCACAACTAATGACCACTTTCTGTTTACATCATACTGTAGCTAATTTGCTCCCAAGCAACTAAGACTGCTATGAGACCACTTGAGGTTCTTTATAAACAAGCCTTAAAAGTTATGGATAGAAAGTCATTAAAAGTCCTACATTAAAAATGTTACTCAAGTAAAAGTACAAAAGTATTAGCAACAAAATGTACTTAAAGTACCAAAAGTAAAAGTAGTCGATCTGCAGATTGGTCTATTTCAGAATAATATATATGATATGTTTTATAATGATTGATCGTTAAAGTGTTATCAAAGCTGGTAAAGGTACAGCTAGTTTGAATGACTTTGTATACTGCAGGGTAGCTTGTGACTTTACTCCAGGTGGAACTAAAGTCTGATTTAAGAGTGGATTATTCACATTATTAATCCAAATCTGTAAAGTAACTAAAGGTATTCAATAAATGTAGTGGAGTATAAGTACACGATTGACCTCGGAATTGAAGTGGGGTAGAATTACAGAATTGCAATTGAAAATACTCAAGTAGAGTACAAGTACCTCCAAATTGTACTTAATTAGGCTACTAGAGTAAAAGTACTCAGTTACTTTACAGCACTGGTTTGAACACACTCTATGCCATAGAGTGTGTGATGAACACATCCCATAGAGTCTATGCGATGTGTTCATCATTAAACAATGAATTGGATTAGAGAAATAAACAATCCTCTTTTGTTTCATTAACAACTACATTTTGTGACTCACAAAAGTTAACATTTATTTCCAATAACACGGGTCAAAACTTTATATATAATTTAGTGTTTAAAACCTCCCTTCATATGGACAACAATAGCGATTGAAAACATACATTTAGATTTGGATTTTTGTCTGTATATGTCCCTGCTTTTCACTACGCTGAAGCCTCTGAAAATGTTCAAAACTATGTTCAACTATATTCAGGTTTTGTTACTCACATGTAATTAAACAAATCAATAAAGTTAACCTTTACTTTCAATAACAGGGGTCAACATTGAGAATATTTACTGGTTAAAAACACCCTCTTCTTACAACCAAAGTTGTAAGAAAAGTAATCTTTTTATGAATAAAAACATGAATTTAACTTTGGATGTGTTGCTTTTTACGATGCTGCCAGCCTCTGAAAAGTAAACTAGTGTAATTGTATAGGAGGTTAAACTTCTGCTGCACTGCATTGGGTGTGTTGAACAGCCAGTGATGAAGAGGAGGAGGAGGAGGAAGAGTTCAGACAGATGTGAATAACGGTGCAGACATGTGATGCCTAATTTGGCTTTGTGGGCGGGCCGCTGCAGCTCAGAGTACTGCTCAACACTGAGGAGTCTCACTCTGCCTCTCTCTGCTCTGGATGTGAAGGAGACTATACGCAGCACACTATCTGAAAGGTAACCAACTCTCAAATCAAACTTTTATTATAACTCCTAGAACTTAATGTGGTGATTTGTGCAGCAAGGAAAAGTGTTTATATGAGGCTGATACTGAGAGCTTGTGCAGGAAAATACTTCACAGCTGCTACTTGTTGCATCTTGCTTATACCTGCAATGTGAAAAATGTGATACGATCTAGGGTGTGTCTATTTACATGCATGGTTTTCACGGTGATATAAGAACAACCTTTTATTTCTTGTTATTGAATTTTTTTTTTTAAATGTGCCTTTATATAAAAATAAAATGCTGAGTATAGGTGGAAAACTTCAACAAAACTAAATGAATTCATATGTATATGCATATGCTTGGTGAGTTTAAAGAAACGTTATTATACTTTCTTCACTACTATAGGTCTACTCATTTTGTGCCGAGAGACAAAGAAATAATGTTTTCGAAAATGTTCCAAAAAGTATTTTCAGCACACTTTCCTGAAGATAAAAATCGAATTGATCAACATGTATTTCTGTGTTTATTGTAAGTTTGTATTACTGTAACTGTGTTTAGAGTAGTGCAGTATGTGTATGTGTGTGTGTGAATGTGTGGTGAGAGACTTATAGACTTTTGGCAAAGAATACACTTTTTTTTTCATTGCTCCAAAAAGTATTTTCAGCCCAGTTTCCTGAAGACAAGATTCACATTTCTGTGTTTCGTGTAAGATTGTGTTTACTACTTTACTACTTGAGTGCAGCGTGGTGTGTGTGTGTGTGTGTGTGTGTGTGTGTGTGTGTGTGTGTGTGTGTGTGTGTGTGTGTGTGTGTGTGTGTGTGTGTGTGTGTGTGTGTGTGTGTGTGTGTGTGTGTGTGTGTGTGTGTGTGGTGGGAGAAGGGTGCGGCAGGAGGCACACCCACTTTCACCGTCGATGAATGAACCTCTGGAGGCGCCTAAAACACAGCTATCACACTCACTTTGACTCTTTCTCTGTCTGAATTGTATTGAAGACGCTGATTTAGATTCTCACCAATAACTGTTATTCTTCATTTCAATGCAGAACTTTATCCAAGTTTTTCTTTTTCGTTGAATAGGTTGGTTGGTCAAATAGAAAGTGATGACCCTAAATAATCAGTGTGTGGTTAGAGAGATTAAGTATCTTTTTAAGCTTTGTCTTATGAGTCTTTAGTCTCATCTGAAGGGAAATCTGGGGGAAAAGCTTAATACTTTGGTTCTTTTTAGTTTAAGAAAGGTCAAATGTAAAGGTATATTTGGGAAGAACCTCTCAAAAACACACAACAGACACTAATACGAATCTATTACACACATAATGGGATAGTTTGCTAACAGAACTCATCTTGTGCTTCGATCCTCGGGTCTCCTGTAAGTGGATTACGGGGGAAATCAAGTTAGTGAAGTTGTGTCATGACAACCAAACAAGCTGTGCACATGACTCACTACCCGAGAAAAGCTTGTTTCCTGAACATCTACCTTTGTGCGTGCGTGCGTGCGTGCGTGCGTGCGTGCGTGTGTGTGCGTGTGTGTCCCTTCCCTGCTGTCAGTATGAAAAGTGACTATGCAGAGGAGCCTGATGCTCTCACATCCTGTTTGCTGTCCTGATGTGTGAGCCTATTTTCAGCCCCTCCTCCACTTTGGGAAGTGCTTGTGGGATGCTGTAGTGTTTTTCCATGCTGTGCCGCAAAAATGCACTTTTCCACACTATGCTTTTGTATCTTTTCTCTCTTTTTTGTTTGCCATTTTCCTCCCTTATTTCTTTCCTAACTTGATTCCATGAGCAGCAATGGCGGCAGGATTGATTTTTCCATTACGACCCCTCAGTATACGTTTATTTTGAGTGGTTTACATGAAGCGTAATTGTTACCCCGACTTTAAAGCTGGAGTGGGAGTATTGAGCTGGGAGAGAGGGAGAGGACAACTGATGGAAAAGAGAGGGAGGAGCCGCTCAAATGAGACTATGAGGAGGGAAGGGAAAGAGAGGGAAGGAAATAAAGAACTTGGCAAATGCGTCAAAGTTAGTAGTTGTTCAACAGCAGCCAGACTGCAGCACATCTGGAAAGCATCAGGAAGTTGGAAAATCTTACAAGAATTAAGGGAGGAGGGGAAGAACTGGTGAAAGAGAGGGGCCGGGTGGTGACTCACTTTCCTGCTATTCCACTCCATCACTGTGTTTGAACTGTGTGTCCTTCTGTGGCCTGAGACACAGGGCTTCCCCCGTGTTTCTCCCTCTTTTTACTCCCCCGCCTTCCCCTCCCTCTTGGCTCCAAGTGAGTCATCCTGCAGGAGTTTCAGGGGTCTCTTTTTCCATTTCTTATACTTTCTGTTCTAGCCTTTCTATTCATACCTCGCCACCAGTTCAGGTTTTTGCCTCCCCAGCCTCGACCATTTTATTGCTGTCTAATGGGACTAATGTAAACAGGCCCTTTCCCCGTGTTTATAACCGTCTCTGTGTAAACTGGGAACAGGGAATGCAGCACTCGAGGAGCCAAGTGGGTGATGGGTGTTGGGAGAGATGGGAGGAAAGACAGTCTATGGAGGAGGGTTTCTGCATGAGGAAAATGTCCATCTTCTCGTCTTTTTGTGTGTGGAAATCTTGTTTTTCTGAAAGCCTCAAAAGCTTGTCTTAAGATTTTCTGTGAAGCAAGTAGAAAAAAAAACTTGTACTAGTATTGAGTTCATCCTGAAATATAAAGAAAAGCAAAACATGTTAAGCAACAAACATGCATCACTAAAAGTCCTTCAGAATCAAACAGCAGACGCTTCTTAGATAGACGCCATTTTGCACCATCATTCAATAGAAATCCCTTTAGGAGGAGGAAGGCGTCGTCTGTACATCAGCGAGCTCATTACATCACATGCATCGGCAACAGTTGGCGATTTGAGTCATTTAAAAACTGGAAATACCCTTGACTGCTTTGCAATGTGCTAGGTCGTTGTGAAACCTGAAGTATTGTCTGGGACCATTTTGTCAGCTCTTTTGGAGCCATAAAAGTCAAATTTCAGGATGTGGGGAAAAAGAAATCAGTGTACAAAAGTGGAAAAAAGGAAAAGCAGACTGAAAATATACATCTTATAATCATTAGCTCATCAAAAACATTTAAACGTGCAATTAAAAAGTTATCAGTCCAAAAACAATGCTAGGTTTCAGATTTGCTGTTTCTCCCTGTCGTTGTAATTTGAATATTTGAAGTTATTCACCTCTTCACCGTTTTTAATAGCAACCAATTTCCACGATAAAATCTAATATAAAACAATAAAAGTCAACAAAGAATCTAGCTAAATCACACTCCAATGTGAGCTTAAAAAAGAGACTGTGTGACTTTTAAAAGAGGAAATCGCACATTCATTTTCTTGCAAATGAACAGTTAATTTCATTGGCAGTAAAACATACCCTTGCTCAATCCAACAGACTCGGGCTTGGTCAGTGGTTTGCTGACTTTATGACTCTTTTCCACTTTTACTACTGGAACAATTAACTATAAATTTCACTTGTGGTCACAATTTCTACTATTCAGCTCAATGCACTCAGTAGATGAAACAGTTACGACGGAAATGATTAGCTACCAAACTCGTGGCAAAAGCATATTTTTTTGAGGAGCTGCATCTGAAAATACCTTTTTGTTAGCTTTAAAGGGGACCTATCATGCAAAATACACTTTTTGATGTCTTTTATACATAACTATGTGTCCCCGGTGTGTCAGGGAACTCACGCAGCTTCAGAAAATAAAACCCTTCTCTTTTCCTCCATACCCAAATCTTTTAAAAACAGGGGTACAACGAGCGGATACAGATTTGCTGCCGATATGACGTCATATCGGATGGTGGACCCACAGAAAGTTGCTATCAGAAACAATGCCTGACGTGTTTTGGACGTAATATGGCCTGTGTTTACATTAGCAAGCCTCGCTAACACTCAGAGCTAACCTGTCCTAGAGAGCACATGTGTTTAAAAAGCAGGAAATAAAAAAAGAACTCACCTTGTGATAAACCTGCAAGAGAAAAAGCATTTGAATTCCGTACTGTTTCAGAAATAATCCTTGATGTGGTTTAGAACAGGATGGCGTTTTATCAGAGCAGAATTTAACTTTATCTCCGGTAGAATTCTGATCAGGCATTAGCTCCGCCTCCTCTTTTTAGTTTTTTCAAACTAAGGCCCAAAATCCGCGTTTCTCTAACGGGCCGTCTCCACGGCAGCGTTAAAAAAATCTTGGAGGTGGGCGTATCTGAAGCTTGAGGATTTTTTGCGAGCAACCAATCACATGAATCTCCCGCCCGCGACATACGAAGCAAAAAAGCCCGAAGTAAACTGGATATAAACTCCCCAAAACAGGCGAAAACCTACCACTGTCTCTGCCACCTCCCTCCATGCCTGGCTCCTCCGGTTTATATCCCGGTAGGTCTGGTCATAAAGCACCGGGTGATTGATTCGCTACCGCTAATTTCTCCTCCATTTTTTGGAATATGAGGAAATGACCTGCGGTCTGTCTCTCCCAGCATACACGCCGTTTGATTGGCTAGAGCTTGAACTGTCAGATTTGCGTACACGGGATTTGATTGGCTGACGCTTCCTCCTCAGCTTCAAAAGTTGAACATTGTTCAACTTTGGATCTTGAAAATCCTGAGAATCTCCGCTCGCCTGCCCACAATGCATTTTGGCGAAAGCGAAAAAAAGTGACGTCACCCCATTCAAAGTGAATGGGCAGAAGCGTTTCAAGATTTTTTAACGCTGCCGTGGAGACGGCCCGTAACAGGGCTGAAACAGAGGGATATGAGGGATGTCTAAAATGCATGATCTGTTTGTATTTTGAGCAAAATACATCATAGACATGTTTTTATATATTTGTATATATCTGAGACCCATAATATATGCCTTAATAGCATGATAGGTGCACTTTAACTAAGACATGCTCGTTGGTTAAAAATAATTCAGGAAGTGTAATAAATAACTAACTAAAGAAGAACTTGACAAGACAGTTGAAGGAAGGAAGGAAGGAAGGAACTTACTGTAAAGAACAAACCCTATTGTAGTTACATTTACAATAGTTAGCGGTGAAGTACAGTATTGAGATATCTTTAAGACCCTGAAAACATGGTGTCTATTTATCTCATTGAAACTAAAAATGTTTGAATAAAACATATATTGGTATTTATTATAAGGAGGTTCATTGGTGCACTGAAGAACCTGACATCACTTTTTTTTTTTTACAAATGAGCTGCGCCCACTTCAAATAGTGCCGAAAAACAGCCAAAAATCTTTGGAAATAACTAAAAATGTTTCCGGTTTAGCAGAATTGGTTTAATTTCCTTTCAAACCCAGGCTCTCATATAGGGATATCTTTCCAAGGCCTTACAAATGCAGAACATTTATTTAAATAAAAAACAGAATTCAAAGAATTAAAGGCTTAGGAATGAAAATCTGAGGCCCCAGTCTCATCCAACAATGCAACAATAACATAAGACATAAAACAATTAGAGTAGAAATATAAAGGGAAATAGTATAGTGCAAGACAAGGTTGACCAATGTGCAAGTAAATGCAGAAATAACTAAATTATATTGATGTAAATTAGAATAAGATCAACTAAATAGTCAAATCAAATACTGCATATTGTTACAATTGATAAATACATTTGTGAGCTATCAAAAAAAAAATGCTTTAAACCTTCTTTTAACACCCCAGCTGCACCAGATTGTCAGCCTTGTTAGGATTTCAGATGTGTGTGTGCAGAGTAGATCCTGGGAGTGGAATAAGTGATGAGGGCCATGTTTAGAGCTCGATGACAGACTCACACTGCGGGGTCGGTGAAGGCTGCAACGCCACGCCCGTCAGAGGACATGAGCATGGAGAAATGTCCGAGAGAGAAACAGTGTGCACTCAGCGCAGGAATGCTGTGAGAAAGCAGTCTGATAGGAGGCAGAAAGCACCACAGAAGAAGAGAGGGAGTGTTCAGGAGATGGTAAATGTGCTGTTACGACTGTGACAACAGTGCAGTCATTATTTGTGGCTTTAAATTGCGTTTTCATGCTTTCACTTGTTGTTGTTTTAACCATTCGTGAAAATACAATAACAGCACTGTGTGTTGCAGAAAAAATGGCCGTCATGTGGTTGTATTATGTATCTAGAGATCATGACAAAATTACATAAAATCTGCAAAACAGACTTTCATGGTCTCTGTGGTTAATGTTTAAATATGGTTATTGTTAGTGAATTGTATTGTGATCTGCATATGTACGTGTTTAACATTAACATTCCTTTGTTTTGACTTTCTGGTATTGTATTACTATTTCAGCACCTTGAGACTCTGAGATAGAACATATTATGCTCATTTTCAAGTTCATATTTGTATTTTGTGCCTCTTCTGTTACTTTAATGTTCAAAAAGGGCTCTTTTTTCACCCACGTCTGAAACCAGAGCCCAGTCTGCTCTGATTGGTTAGCTGGCCGGCTCTGTTGGGATTGGTCAACCGCCAAAAGATGTCCCGCCCCTTATCCTATCACGTACAATATGTTGGAGCGCTAGCCAATAGAAGCGCAAGTGTTACATAATGATGTCACTATGTTATGGAAGTACACATAGGAATCCAATGGAGGCGTTTCAGGCAGTGTGTGGGAGATACACTTTGGGATTTTAGCCTTTGCAGCCCATTTACATGCACTACCCAAACATGATAAAAGGGGACTTAAAATGTAATACTAATTATTTTTCAATTTCTTTTCGTCTTACAGTTTCTCTGCCTTCTCTGGGTGGCTGAAATCCGAGGAAGTGATTCCCTATAGGACGAGACTCCTCTCTCTCAGGAACAATTTCATCTTCTCGCATCACCTACCACATCATGGCTGTAGTTCTCCACTCCAGCCCCATCTTTTGGACACGGCTGGCCGCCGTGATATTCTCCTGCGTGGCCTTCTCCGTGGCCGTGCATGGCGGCCATCTCTCCCACGGCACCGGGGACTGGTGCATCTTCTGCTGGGCCTTCGGTTTCGCCGGGACCCTCCTCGTCATCCTGGTGGAGCTCTTCGGCCTGCAGACCAGAGCCCCTGTGTCCTGGAAGAACTTCCCCATCACCTTCGCCTGCTACGCCGCCCTGTTCTGCCTGTCCGCCTCCATCCTCTTCCCTCTCTATTATCTCAAGGGCTCCATTGGCCAAAGCCAAATCCGCGACTACCGCATCGTGTCGACCGTCTTCTCCTGCCTGGCCACCATCGCCTACATCAGCGAGGTGAGCATGAGCAAGGCGCGTCCGGGAGAAGTTGCTGGCTACATGGCGACCGCTCCAGGCCTCCTGAAAGTCTGCGAGACCTTTGTGGCCTGCATCATCTTCGTCTTCGTCAGCGACCCCGTGACTTACGACCGTCACGACGCACTCAAGTACTGCATGTCGGTCTACTGCATCTGCTTCATCCTGTCGGCGATCATCATCCTGCTCTGCATTGGCGAGTGCACCGGCTGCCTTCCCTTCCCCTTCGCACGCTTCCTGTCCTCCTACGCCCTGCTGGCTGTGGTCCTCTATCTGTCGGCGACTATCATCTGGCCCATCTTCAACTTCGACCCCAATAATGGAGGGACGAAACATAGGCCCAGCACCTGCAGCAACGCACAGGGTTTGTGTGTGTGGGATAAGAACATGGCGGTGGCTGTGCTCACGGGCGTCAACTTCGTCCTTTACCTGGTCGACCTGATCTACTCTTCCCGCCTGGTGTTTGTGAATGCTTGAAGGGAAGTGAAAGGGTTTTAAGCTGGCAGTATGCACCAAATAAAATTGAATATGGCAGGTTTTCAAAGGCCAAATGTCAAATACAGTGCTGCAAGCATGTGCAAGTGTAATCACTGCGACTCTGATCTGTTTGTATAATGGCATCCGATTCTCACACTAGATGCAGAAGAGTGTAGAGTTATACCATAACTGGTGTAGTTTTTTGCAGAATTGCAGTCTGGTTTGACATTATTTGGTGATGGAATTTAAAATAAAAGGATTTTATTTCACTATATTTCTGGAGAAGTTGAAGTTGCCCAAAGCACCTGTGTAATGTTAGACCCAGGATGTAGAGATAATGTGAAAGTGACATTTCTTTTTTAGAGATATCAAAAATATACCTAGGCAATCAAACCAGATCTTGTGTTATTTTTACCAAGACTTTGCCTGTACAAACCTGCCACATTTAATTTTGAGTGAAGTATACTGCTTAGGACCATAGAGAGAAAGAGAAAAGAGGAATTCAATGGCTATGTTTACAAATACAACAATATTCCCTTATCATAAAATACCAAGGCTTTCTGCTCATACATGTCAAACCTTGCTTGACTCTCTATTTTGAGAGACCTGAATGTAATTGCTGGATCTTTTTCATCCATTTGAATTGCAAGTAATTGCCCAATACAGTATTTCATGTATAGATGTTCTGGAGTAAGCTAAAAAAAATAATCTCACAGACAAGAATGTTAAAAATAATACATGCTACTGTAACGGCCAAATACTGTGCATGTCAACATAGTCTGTGATGACAAATGAAGAAATACCAAAGAAATTGGCGGCTTATTATTATTATTATTTTTTTTTTAATGCCTTTTAAACGTCTGGTGGATCAAAATATCTAATCATCTATAAACACCCAACTCACACCACTTAATTCATATATGTATATGTCAATTGGGTCTATTGGTTTTGTACTGCTGTAATAAATACTCAGAGAAAGTTACTAAAATGGATGCTTCTCTCTCTCTAGAAGTGGTTAGTGTTATATTCTTAGCTTTTTTATATTCTACTGTTCGTGTTTCAATTGTGCATACCACATCAGTGTTGTAGGAGAACATAATCTATTGTTTCAATAAACCACATGTTAAACAGATGAGAGTGTGTTTTGTGTTTTTGCCAAACATGTTATCAAGTTGTGTGATTGACCTACAATTTGGTGCGAATATTCATAGTGCTAGGAGGATTAATCTCATTGTTGTTGGCAACCCCTTGCTTGTGATTAGTAAGCACCACAGGCAGGTCAATTATTTCATATTTTCAGTGAAATACCTCAACATTTACTCGATGAATCGGCCCCAAATGTTGTCAAACAACGTTTCCGAATGTTCTTTTAGTTCCACTAAAGGTTCTCTGCATTGCTCTCAATGGCCAAAACAACTAAAAACTAAAATGACAAAGATACACAAAGAAAGGTAAGAACAGACAGAACTCACAAGTGATATACATGAATTAACTTTGACAAAACTTATCTGATTGTTTGAACTGAAAGTAAACATAGTATAAATCAGCATCTGCTCAATGCACACTATTTATATTTCCCTGTTTACTTTATCTCTCACCACACTCTTTCCTCACCTCCTCCCTTCGCTGCCAGACGCCCTCCCGCTCTCTGCAGACCCCAGAGAAGCCTTCAGGGGCCGTAATATGTCTCCGGCACCAGAGACTGTGACTGAGGAGGATGGAGTAATGGGCGGAGTGAAACACAGTACACACATTCAAGTTGTCCATAAATCTATGGCCTGGAGAAGAGACAGCAACAACGCCCAGCTCTGACACAATAACATAAAATGGAGTTTCTTTTGTTGAAGGAACGGTTGTATCCTCTGCCATAGAAACATGGAGCAGGCTAAAACACTATGAAATAGATGTTAATGTATCTTTTAGTTTCACCATATACTATACTATATATATGTTGAATATTTTAAATAGTCTTTGTGGTTACATTTTTTACATTCTGGGTTACGGATCATATAGCATATCAGGACTGTCATCTAAAAAAACATTTTAAATAACACTATCTGTATCTTATTGTGAGTATAAACATTATTCCAATGCTGCTGAAGTGAAAATGTTATTGCCACAAGACTACCAGGTTCTCTTGACTGTCCGAGGGAACAATGTTGTTTCTAAATAATAACGGCATGAGTCTGCTTCCGTCTGTTTTACACCATCTCCCAGTAAGCTTTGCTTCTGTTGTGTACAGCGAGAAGTCGTGTGATGCGAGGCCTTCCTACTCTCTTTAGAAGACTAAATGAATTCTTGGCCTTCCCACTTTGACCCAGAGAAAGAACAAAGAGCATAATTCATCAGCAGGGCCGCCCCTCCCTACAGGCAGATCACACAGACTGTCAATAGCTTGATACCGTTTCCAAATGAGAGGCCATAGAAAGAAGTCTGTCTCAAACACAGCATCTTCTTTCCATTCCCAAAGCGGATGTGTCGCTATCAACATAACTGAGACTCAAGTGTGTAACAACAAGCACACTTGAATAGCAACAAAGTGTTAAACTACAAACATACGACGCATTAAAATAGACACACAGATGTGGAAAGGCCCGCCATTCCTCCAGTACCGAGGTTCATGTATATTCCCACAGATACTCTTTCCAAGCCAAGAGTCTCAATAGCAAACAGATGTGCGTCACATAGTAACAAGAGAAGTGACTTTGTGGTATTGGCTCTTTTATTTCAACACATTTAGATCCTCTGACCTGCTTTGACACTTTGACTCTTCCCTGTGTTGTAAGTGTTACTAATCTCCTGTTATCCACGGGTTTGAAAGGGGAACTTTACCCATTTCGCTCATAAAGTTCAGTTCATTCGTCACGGGGAGCACTACTCTGTTTCTATGAATCAATAACAAGTGGTTTTGATGTGGAGCAGCAAAGAGGAAGTCACTTTGTCCAGCATATGATGCTTCCTAAAAGGAATTGTTGTTTTATTGTGCGGTTTCATTACAGAATTAACAAATCAAATGTTAATGTGTGAGCTTTAGAGGTGCTGATAGGGGTGGAATATGTTACCTTTGGGCAGTCAGGCTGTTTTCCTGTTTCCAGTCTTTATGCTATGCTAGGCTAAATAGCTAACTAGCTTAACCATTAGGTGATATTCTCATGTAACTCTCTTATTTACCAAAATGTCAAACTATTCTTCCAAATCTGTTTCCTGTGTCAACACTTTTAAAATCCTCTGTTACCCACATTCAATATTTTAGTTTACAGTTTTCAATGCTAAATTACCAGTAGCTAATTTGCATATCTTAGTATGCTAACACACTAAAGCATAGCAAACATGAAAAACATAATACCTGCTTAACATTGGTCACCATTCTAGTGTTATATACATTTTTATTTTTAACTTAAAGGTGGGGTAGGTAAGTTTGAGAAACCGGCTCGAGATACAATTGTTGTTATATTCCATGGAGTGCTCTTAACATCCCGATAGCAATGAATATCTTAAGTGCTTTGACAAAAAATCCATTAAAAAATGTCATCTGTGGAAGCCGTAGTACTGTAAAAAGCACGACCAATCATTTTAGCCGGCCCGGCTAAAATAACTGGATGGCCTACCTGCCTGTCAGCCTTCCATCTGTGCACAAACTTATCTCGTGCCCTCATTGGTCATGTGCGCGTTCGTGTGTGTTGGAGGAGGGGCTCTGTAAGGAAGTGGGAGATTTTCTCCGGTTGTGTATTTTCAAATTCTACGCACTCGAGCTGGTTTCTCCGAAATTACCTACCCCACCTTTAATAAATGCAAAATTATATTGTATATATTTAAGTTTATTTTAGAACCCGTGTTGCCTGCTGTTTGTTTGCTGAAATTGTTTTTTTCTGTGTATTCAATCACACTACCATTGATATCACTGCCAGTATTAAAAAAGATAAAAAATGATTAGCTTTATTAGCATTAGCATGAGTTGGTATCTTAGAATCAGAGACTTTACCAGTAATATAGATCAGCGTAAGAAATATAACACTATAGTTTGTATTATGGTAAACCATCTTTACATTATAAAGCAGACAGCTGCAGCTCTGTATGATTCCCACATTCCTAAGTGATCCTATAGTTAGGGATCCTATAGTTAGCTCGTCTTTTGGGACTGTAGCTTTTCAGCGACAGAGGCCAGGTTTAGACATAATGGACCATTACGTTTTCCCATGGGCTCTTTATGATCTTACACAGGCATTCCCATTGGTGCTCCATTTGGCCGCTGTTTCATGAACCCCTATGTGTCAGTCAGGCACTCAGAGAACTGTGAGATATTTGAGATTATACCTCCCCCTGGTGACACTCTGAGGGACTTTGTTGTGCATAGTAGAGTAAGTAATGACGTGAGAAACAGGCTTTTTTAATTATGCCTTTGATACTTAAATCAAGGTTTTTAGAAATATTTTGATGGAAGATTTTCTGGTGTAGGACTGCTGCTAAATGACTCACTGGAATACATAAAACATTCCACTGGGTCAATGAGCAACTTAAAGTCAGGTTGACCTTGCTTGTTCATTTCAAGGCTGGGAACTCAACACAGATAAAGTAATAGAAAATAAAGGTGTATTTCTCTCAACTTCACATTAACACACCATGAGAGACATACTCTATACATGGCTGCTGAGTTTTGACAGAATTTACGAGACTGTAATGAAATCTTTAAACAATATACATTCTCAATAGTTGTAAGTAAACTTTAAGTTACTCAAAATGTAAGTATTGATTATTTCTAAGGGTTTTCAAATTTGAGGAATGCCATTTCAAAAGGAGCTTTTCCACATTCTTCTTATTTTCTGAATTTGTGAAGGAAAACGTTGTATTTTTGAATATTTCAACGTGTTAAAATGCACAACAAGCTATGTAAATGACAAAAGAAAGCCAACATTTGATCCCTAAAGACAAATAATTCTTTATTTTCTGCAATTTATCGTCTGACTCAGTGGTTTGTGCTTAGGTCTTCCCTTCCATTTGAACCAAAATCACTACATTCACTTTCAACGTTTGACTACCTTTCCAACCAGAAGAAAAAAGGAGCTTGAACCTGAATAGTGAATGCCATGAATGAATCATGGCTCAGACTCTACACCAACTACATCTATCCCTTACCATTAAGGCTTTTTCTGTCTGGTCTCAACAAGCTCCCAACATGCCCATTTACGGTTTGCACTGAACCCTTTAGACCTATAAAACTGTCACGAAAACAGATAATGCTACTTTGGCGTCCTTGGCGTCCTTTTGTCATGTAGATGTATTTCATTGCCTTTGCTGTTTTGCAATAATGAAATACGTTGAGCCCATGCACTTTATAGCCACACTGCTCTTGGTGTAGAAAGTACACATAGAAGGAATTAAGAGTTTTCAAGGTGAATAAGTGAAATCTCAGTTGCTGTTTAAGGAGTGTTAAAGCAGTCCCCCCAGGTGGCACTGTTCCTCAAGACAAATCTGCTCTACTTCCAGAGGATCTAACAAACTATTTCTCATGCAAACCTTTCAAACAGCTGAAACAGACCCAGCCTGGTCACATCATCCTTTTTCAGGTCAAACTAACACACTTTTCAGCAGCTCAACATCTACTCAGATAGCAGATGGTTTGTCAGTCAAGTCTATGAGTCATTTTCTCTTGCTATTAAATTATTTCATTAAGCTAATACTCCTTAATCTGGCAATACTGGAAATAAAATCTGAAAAATAATTGCTGCTATTTGGCAACACAGGATCCTAAATCCTGGCACCATTACTCCAGGAACCATTAGAGAAAATGTCCAGGAACTGATCAGAAAAGTGTGTTTCTTCGGCAGGATGGATTACGTTTCTGCTGGTGCAATTTTTAAATAAAGACATAATTGCATCTCTTAAAAAATATGAAAGATATATATTTTATATTACGAATACGGCATCTTGAAGCAATAAGACCAATCATCTTAAACCAATAAGATTTCCATAGAGTCTAAGCCTTTTTCCATAAGTCCACCTGTTCTAGATTCTGCTTTTTTGAGAGTAAATTTTTTTGCAATAAAAACACAGGACACACACAAAACTCAAGCACGTTCTTTTATAATTTATATTGAAAACATGTTAAAAAACAATAGTTTCCCTTTATAAAACCACATAAAAACAGTTACCTGTGGTCATAATTACAACAGTGTCCTGGTAATAAAATCCCCCTGCCAATATCACATGAGACTGGAGCGATGCATCTTAATACCAAGTGCATAATGGATTTAAAATCACGCTGGATATCAAACGGGATGATGAGCTCTGTGCTCAGTTTGGCTGGTTGTCCATCTGTGAGCCTGAAGACTGGTAAGACTGGATGTCCTCCCCGATGAACTCTGACACTGCGGAGGGAGAACAGAAACATTACAATCCTTTTCATCTAGTTTTGAGCTTTTGCATCGCTAGAATCTAAAGTAATCTACCTGTATTAGCCTGTAAATAATTGTACACTTATGTATTTTAAAAGCAGCAGGAATTGCAGCATCTAAATAGCATGTCTCCTACAACACAAATCTTTGGCTATGACGTATTTTTCAGTATCTCAATAGTGCAGATATCTAAGGAAAAAGTCTCAGACGGGTTATTTATTACTCAAGCTTTTTCCCTCTTTGTGGATGAAATATATTGCTTTTTTTGGTTGTCTGATATTACAGTATTTCATCACTGACCAGTTCAAAATGCTAGTCCAAACTGAATTAAATGTCATTAGGTGTGAATTTGATTACGATATTCCCAAAAACATAAGATAATATCAGCCTGTACGTTGCCTTGCATTGGAAGTAATGTCGTTTTTGGGATATTTAGCAATAATAATCTAAATGTTCCCTGATATTGTGCAGACCTACCGCTCAAAACACATCTTGGTTGTCAACACATTTAAGGAATTCTTGTTTCAATAGATGTGTTTCATGTATGTAATTACTTAGTTTTCTTTAACATGTTAAATCCCTATTATCTGTATTATCTGTGCAGAGAATTCACCATCATTCTTTTTTGCAGTTAACATTTCTCCTGATTCAAATGCAATAATGTTTTATTCATGATTTTTCTTGTGTAACACTTATGGACCAGGCTACAACTTCCTTTCGTTGCACAGCACTGTATTGCAAAATGACAGTGTATTATGAATGCCTAAAAATAAAAGACTCAAGTAGAGTACCTCAACAATGTACTTGGTTACATTCCTTGTCTAGATCCAACACAATTATCCTTCCTTTCTTCCATATCATCTTTATTTGTCCTGTACACGTCTGTAATGTAGCAACATCCTGACTAAAACCACCAGACTCAGGGACAGTTTCATCCCACAGGCCATAAGACCGTTAAACACCTGCACTTTTGAAAGAACATCCATAACATGTTTGCAACTTACATATATCAATATTCCAATTACTTGTATATAGACTATTCTGTACTATTTCTATTATATTCTATTTTATTTTATTTACTTGCACTATTATCTGTTTTATTGTGTTGCACTGTTGCCTGTGACCTAAGAATTTCATTGTCATAACCAGAGGTGGGAAGTAGTGGAGTACAAATACTTTGTTACTGTACTTAAGTACATGTTTCTGGTATCAGTACTTTACTCCACTACTTATTTTTCTGACGACTTTTTACTTTGACTTCTTACATTTTGAACACAAATACCTGTACTTTCTACTTCTTACATTTTCCAAACAGGCTGGTTACTTTAGTTTGAATGTGTGTTTGGTGGCGTGATCATTATTATTTAGAGTCATTGCGTGCCTATTGATTTGAATACGATCCGTGTATCCATCATTTCCTGGTCTTCTCTAAAGAAGAGGGACCAATGAAAACGTTGTCATGTTGCCGTTGTTCAGCATGGAAACATTCATTAGCTAACAATGACATTATTGTTCTATTAATACAAAGGGAGGTCAGGTACTCTTTAAAACAGCTGGTAGTTATGGGTACTTTTTACTTCAGTACATTTCAAAGCCCATACTTCTTTACTTTTACTTGAGTAAAGAAGTTTAGTCAGTACTTCTACTTTTACCAGAGTATTTTTAAACACGAGAATCTGTACTTCTACTTGAGTAAAGCATGTGTGTACTTTTACCATCTCTGGTCATATCTACACTGTAGCTATATACAAATGACAATAAAAACCTTGAATCTTGAATATAGAAAGAAAATCAGAATTGTACACACATGCACTCACATAGCGACAAATAGGCTCAACTCACCTTCTTCAAAAGTGATGTGGTGCATAGAAGAGCTGGTAAACTCCAGAGGGCAGTCCTGGATCTTGGTGTCCCTCTCTCCCCCGTGCCCCATCCCCAGCACCCTCCCCTGGGGGTCCCAGCCCTCGTAGTGGGAGTAGGGTGCCGGGCACATGTCCTGATACAGGCTGGGGTGTGAGGGGGGTGAGGGACACACCTCCTGAGGGTACGCAGAGTACTGGGGGTACGGGGAGGTGGGGATGGGAGGCAGAGGGGAGGTGGAGATGGGACTCCCGGCAGGAAACGGGCTGAGAGAGGAGGAGTGGGAGGGAGAGGGTGAAGATGAGAGGTAGGGTGAGTCCAGCCAGGGGGAAGGGGAGGGGGATGGAGGCTGTGGGCCGCGGGGGTATAAGGGGGGAAGGAGCTCGGTGAAACCCAGCTCTAGGTTCTCGAAGCTGGGCTGCCGCTCGCTCAGCGCCGCCCGCGATTCCTCCACGGAGTCGGGTTTGGAGCAGTACTCCTCGTGGTAGCTCATGGCGGGGCAGGGGGGGGAGTAGGTGGAGGGGTACGGAGGCAGGTGGAGGAATCCCAGGCCTCGATCATCCTCCATGGGGTCGCCTCGCATGTGGAAGTCCATCCTGGGCTGCACCCCCGCGTCCAGAGGCAGCACGGAGGGCCGGGACAGCAGGGGGTCGTCCTCTTTGAACAACACTGTGAGGAGGAACAGTTTGAGTTATATGTGGATATTTTATTATCTTTTTATATATAGTTTGCAATATGTTCTATCAAGGAAGACTAAGAAAGTTGCATAATATATATATTTTTTTTTTCTTCAGGATTTTGTTTTGTTTGTTTCCCTAAAATAAAAGCAGTGCCACATTCCTTTTTTAATTTCCTTTATTGTTTTCTATATTTATATATAACCAGATTATTGAAACAAACCCGAAAGTTTAAAAAGAAAATCGGATCCCTAGACATGTAAGAAATGTTTTCACCTCTATCACAGTTACAATTATTAGAGTTAATCATGAAGTACAAAATATGACTTTTATATTATTATAACAGTTTGAATAATATGAGGATATTTTATTATCTTTTTATATATACTTTTAAATATGTTCTATCAAGTAAGACTAAGATAGTTTCATAGTATTTATATCTTTGATAAAAGCAGTGCCACATTCCTTTTTAATTTAATTTAATTGTTTTCTATATTTATTTTCTATTTTATACTAATGTAAATGTTTGATGAATCTTTGGTAATTAAAGTATTTAATAAAATTGAAAATGTTAACAAAAGACCAGATTACTGAAACAAAAAATCTGAACCCTAGACTTTCAAAAACAATTTCAACTTCTATCAGAGTTACAATTATTGGGGAAGTTAACTCATGTATTGCATGTTACAAAACGTTACGTATATATTTATCAAAAAAGTTAGTAGTCTGTAGTGATGTAGAAGTTGAGTAAAATCATGCACAACGTGTATAACTTTCTTTTCTTGCAGCTAGCACAATGTTTGTACTTGTAAATCATAGAGTAAAATATTCCATAATGTATATATGTTTTAAATTAATATCAGGAATACCATAAGAGCATTTCCAAGTACAAACACACGCACACTGAGCAAGCCCTAGCAGAGTTTGGACACTCACCGGGGATATATTTGAAGCAGTGTGTGCTGCTCCTCTTCCTCTTCCCGTTGGACACGTAAAGACTGACGGACACAGGAAGACCGACGGACATGTCGCTGTAGGCCGGGACCCTCACACACATCAAACACTACAACAAGAGGTGTAGACACCGAATATTACTGAGAAAACCAGACCCTTTAGTTGTATCTGCTGAATTAAATTACAACTTGATAAAGCATTTCTGTAGTTGCAGAGATTTTGCAGAATCAGTAAGTTTTTTTTGGACATTCTTAGGACTGAAATCACACATGTGAAATTACCTCATTGCTGTTGTCACGATCCACATGAGCCTCCTCCTCCCACTGTAGTTTACCATCTAACAAAACATAAGGTAACATTAAGCGTAACCTAGATACAACACACACACACACACACACACACACACACACACACACACACACACACACACACACACACACACACACACACACACATAATAAGCTTCATAAATATAATTCCGTCAGGTAATGCCTAACATTAAAGCTTTTGTAAAACCAGTTGGTTATGCTCGTAAATCTGTCTCCTCTGATTTCTTTGGGAAGAGTTCCTGGAAGGTAGGCATCTGGTTTTTAAACGAGCCGCTTGTTTTCTACCATAAAGATAGAATGTAAAAGGGAAACAGTGAATTATCCCTCAAACTTAACTACTTTTTGCTAACATAAGAAAGTGTGTGAAGCCTTCTTCTCCTCCTGTCCATGCACTCTTAAAACATTAATTGTATATAGAAAAATCTACTTAATCTTGCATCTAAAATCTTTCTTTTGTGTTTTTAACATCCTGAAAACCCTCTTACTGTCCCTCTAAGACAGTTTAATCTCATTTTAAAACACATTTTGAGCAGTTTCTTTATCAAATCGCTAACAACTCGCGCATTTGTAGGTAAGAACTGATATCCTGTTCTTGTGCAGACTGACTCTGCTGCACATCTGTACAATATCTAAATGATCGACTGCTGTTAAAAAGCCTTACTGAAAAGCAGATTTTCACTGTTGGTCAGGAACTCATAAAGATATTTTATACAAAAGACCAGAGAGACACCATTAAAAAGGATTAATTCTCCTTTACCTGTCCCTCTCTCCATGAAAAGCACTCTGGAGATGGGCAGGAAGTTGGACCCGCTCAGCAGGAGCTCCTCTCCCCCCTCCACGCAGCAGGAGGTCAGGCTGATGGACTCGATGACGGGAAGCTCCTGAGCCGAGCGCTGGGCTGAGACAGGGACAGTAAGCAAATTAAACCAATGAATGTGCTCCTAACTAAAGTTATATGTCTACTCTATATGCTATTTTTAGTTTGTTGCTATGTCTTTTACTGGTAACTGTATTCTGTGTGATATCAATTTTCTGTGAAATGTCTATGTGAAGCACTTTGGACTGCACAAATCTTACACATAGAGGCTTTAACCACATGTTTTAGTATTACTACTGCGCGATATACTGGTACATTATGATGACAGTGATATTAAAAACTGAATATTGATTTCATGATCATTCTCTCACCTCCTCCTCCTTATACTTTGAATGTAATTCGTAAGCCAAAAAAGAGACAAAACACACAACAAATACGTTAAAGAACAATTTCCCTGACAGCCTTTCTTCTTCCACATTTTCGTTTGACCATGATAATTGAGTATTGAAAATCTGATATTGTCGACTTCTTCATAAGTATGTATGTAAAGATGTTTTCGCTCTGCATCGGCCAATCAGCTCAATACTCCTTCACTGCAAATGGGACCCAGGTATTGAACGAGAAAAAGTAAACACAGAAAGTATACATATCCTTCGTCGCACACTAAACACCCACCCAAATTAATTAATAAATAAACAGTTAGTTTACTTGCAGGATTCTTGCTGGTCCTGAATGTATATCCTCATGGTTTATTGCACTCACTGTCTCTTTGGATACAAGTGTAATGTAATTTACTCTCTTTGACCAGATACTCACAGCATTCGATGGCGAGGGAGGCCACCTGCAGAGCCAGGACTCGGCCGGGCTGAGCTACAGGAGTCAGAGGGAGGTGAACCCGAAACACCATCCGGACTCGAGTGTTCTTCCTCCCAACGTCCGTTTCTCCTTTCCTCAGCTCGATGTCCGAGTTCCTCAGCTTCAGAATCCCAGCACAGTCGATGCTAGGACACACAGATTGGTAGTTTTCTATATCAGTCCAGTAAAAAGAATCTGAATGACAAGAGTGTTTCATAGTGTTGAAGTCAAGAACACCTTAACCAAGACCAAGACAAGACCAAGACTTTAAGAGGTCAAGACCAAGACCTTTAAAAAGTGGTTTTGAGACAAAGACTGGTCTCGAGTACTACAACACTACTGATGCGTATACATCGGCTTGAAACTGGATTACAAAGCAAAAAAAGGAACAAACTATAATTTGTCCAAGATCAAGACAAGACCTTAAGACAGGGGTGTCCAAACTACGGCCGGGGGCCAAATGCGGCCCGCGGCCCATTTTGAAACGGCCCTCAGCTAATTCCAAAAGTATAATGAAATATGGCCCACAAATGAAACTTGTGCTTCTAATATATAGTACTTCTTAAATATGTGTACAAATATGTTACACAGTATTCATGTGTTAAAAGGCCCACTTTTCAAATAAATTCAGTCAATTAAAGTTGGAAACATTTTCAAACAAAATGTTAGTTGATAAAAAACGTATAACTTGTAACTTATAAGGCAATAAACCTCACCTCTAGTGAGCGGGAGAGCCCTTTGTATATTTTTCTGTATGTGGCCCTCAGTGAAAAAAGTTTGGACCCCCCTGCTTTAAGAGGTCCAGACCAAGACCTATAAAAAGCGGTCTCGAGACAAAGACTGGTCTCAAGTACTACAACACTACTGATTCGTCAACATAGGCTTGAAACTGGATTACAAAGCAAAAAAAAAGGAACAAACACTTTGTCGATAAACTTTTTCTATTTTCCACTCACAGTGCAGTCATGTTGTTCTCAGGGTTTAGGGGGATGTCCAGGATTTTGGTCCCCGTCTGAACGCTCTCATGACTGGCCGTACCCACCATCTTCCCTGTCACCCTGAGAGGGAGGAAAAACAGATTTATCAGCCAGATGTTACAGTCTATTTGCCCACTCCTGTGATAGACTCGTGCTCTGCCCAAGCTGGAACAAAATAATGGCGAGTATCTTAAGAAAGACAATCTATTAATCGTGTATGTTATTATTCATTACATTTTCTGGTTACAGTAAAACATTTCTTGAATGTCTTAATGTCTTCTTAGATGTTCTGTATTGTTTTTAATAGCTTTTGTTTTAGACTTTTGGTCAGACAAAACAATTTCTTCTCACATATTCAATCACACATTAAAGATTAAAATATTTGTATATTCTACAAAAATATCTTAGCTTGAATTAAACCAGATGCATTAGTGAAATCAGTTAAATCTACTAAGTGAATGTAAATGAGGTTATGTGGCATGGGCTACATCCATTTGGCTACAAACAAGCGGCTTTATATTGTGAAACATGTGCTTTATGTGATTACAAATTCATGAAAAGAACAAACAACACTGTGGTTTTCAAAAATGTCAGCATAAACTTGGACAAACAATAGCTTCATGGTTCTTTTATATATTTCACATCCTCTATATTAAGCTGATGTCTCATCCAGAGCTGGTTTAATTGAGAACAACTGCTGCAAGATATGTCCTGGACCAACACTGGAAGCAGCTGGTGGTAAATTACGCAACGGTTAAAGCCACAGTGGTCAGATGACGATTGTACGGTATGTCGTGTCCCCTGAATATCCATGTATAAAAGATTAACGCGTGGTAAGTCATGAAATAAGATAAGAGTTCAGTACCTGTGTATTTGATAGAAAGGATGTGGCCTGATCGATCGGTCGTCAGCTGTTCCAACGAAGACCTGAAGGGAGAGCGGCTTCCTCTCAGCGTATCCACACAGCTGTGGGAGACATGGGGAGGAGATCACACTGAGAGGAGGCCCGCAGGAGAGAGCCACAACATGTGTCTTATCAAAACACAAACTTTAATTTGATATAAAACAGTCTAATTCTAAAAGCAACTGGATTATAAAGACACAAGTCTGTGCAACATTTATGAGCAGTATGTTAATTGGGAAGAACTAAGTAATACTGTCACATCTTCCCGCAGCTGCCTGAAGGCCCTGACACACCAAGCAGATTTGGCAGTCGGTTAATTTGTAAATATATTTAATGTTTTTGGGATGGCTGCCATTTCGACTTGGAATCGGCACAGCAATATAAATCACTTTGAATGACTCAGAGTGCAAGAGAAGAGAAACTGTTGTGAGAAAAACCAACAAAATACACGTGTAGTGTCTTTTCATTCACTTCTTCATCTCTCTCTTCAGGGACTGGTCAGCTTTCTGTCCCCAGAGTCAGAACTAAACATGGAGAAGCAGCGTTCAGTTATTATGCTCCAAATATCTGGAACAAACTCCCAGAAACCTGCAGGTCCGCTGCAACTCTTACTACTTTTAAATCCAGGCTGAAGACTTTTCTTTTTGCCGCTGCTTTTAATTGAACTATTCACATCTTAAACTGCACTGTAACTTTTAACTTTTATCCATGTATTTTTTCTTTTAATGTTTATTTTATTATCTTTTCTTTTTAATGACTGATTTTAAATGCCATTTTCATAATGTCTTCCATTTTTGTAAAGCACTTTGAATTGCCTTGTGTTGAAAGGTGCTATATAAATAAACTTGCCTTGCCTTGCCTTGCCTTGCCTTGCCTTCTCATCATTCTCATCCATGGATATTTCACGACATGGCCATTTGGAACAAAGCTTAGTGGTGAGGGAGATTTGTGTAGAAATTGTCAGCAAATCCTGCTTTTTATCAATGTTCGTATCATCAACGGCTTGTATTTTTACAGTTGTATGTTTTCGGGTTTCCCTTTTTGAGTGAGGAATACAGACTACTGCTGCCTGCTGTTTTGGAGTTATTTCCTAGATGAAAGTTGGTGGTTTGCTGAAGTGTATGCGGTGTATTCAAATGCAACTTTTTGGCTAAGAATCAATCAACGAGGCAGCACAAAGATATTGAAGTGGCTGTTATTTTGTATATATTGATTGTTGTGGTTTTTATCTTAATGTGTGCATATGTATAAATGTGTTCTTTGCTTTTTATTCGGTGTGTCAGAGCCTTAAATCTGCAGGTTTGGGTCTCACCTTGACGACAGGATGTCCTGATGGCGTTGCCTTCACGGCTCCTCGGCTCCCCTCCGTCTCGTAGTGCGCTCTGTGGTGAGGGCGCGGCTGCACCTCGATCCGCAGCTCGTACTGGTCGAACTGGGACGGCAGCGGCCAGTCCAGTGGCGGCAAGGCGTTAGTCCTACACGTGGTTTACAAAAGTCAAATATTAGACAGGTTTAAAGGAAGCAGAGAACATTTAAAATGACACTTGAATGACAGTGAATAACTATTTTGAAAACCAAATGAATCATTTCAATTTGAAAACATCACAAACTGACTTGTAGTGAGTGGAAATCAGAAGTTTAAATGTTAATGAATACCTTCTTATTTCTTCCTTTTTTTGCAAGAATAAGTACATGGTGCAAGAATATTGCCTGTTTTATTGAAAACACAGTACTTATTTTCGCCAAACTTTTACTTATGCAGTACAGATTTCCATGTCAAAGTTCACTAAGCACAAGGATTGCACAACATCACTTGAGTTCCAATAAAATAATTATTTTGGGCGTAGCATTTATCGTTAAGATGCTAGTGTGAAAAAGCTCTTGGTTTCATGCCAGCTGCTTTTTTTGGGGGGGGAATTATCATTTGAACTGAACTGTTACAGGATGTGTATTTTGTCAATTGTGTAACTATTTTTTTATATTTTTTTGTATATTATAACTTTTCTTTTACTTCAATACTTTTTTATGCATGCTTCTACGTAACATTAAAGGTGGGGTATGTCATTTTGGAGAAACCAGCTCGAGTGCGCTAGAATTTGAAAATACACAACCGGAAAAAATCTGCCACTTCCTTACAGAGCCCCTCCTCCAACACACACGAACGCGCACATGACCAATGAGGGCATGAGATAAGTTTGTGCACAGATGGAAGGCTGACAGGCAGGTAGGCCATCCAGTTATTTTAGCCGGGCCGGCTAAAATGATTGGTCGTGCTTTTTACAGCGCCACGGCTTCCACAGATGACATTTATTTTATGGATTTTTTGTCAAAGCACTTAAGATATTCATTGCTATCGGGATGTTAAGAGCATTCCATGGAATATAACAAAAAGGGTATCTCGAGCCGGTTTCTCAAACTTACCTACCCCACCTTTAAGCTGTCTTTGGCTCTTTTTCTGCTGTAACAATGTACATTTCCCCTCAGTGGGACTAATAAAGGTATTCTGATCTGATTCTGATTTGGAAATTCACTATGTATAATTCCTTTTTAAACAAACAATTGTGTTGACAATTTAACACATCAATATTAAGCTTCAAACTGTAATTTTTGATGCATATGATCATATAAATACGTGGTGTGTATCCTTGCCTGAACAGAGGGCTTTGGGCGCTGGCTCGGGTCCGGCCCCAGGCGAGAGCGGGGGGCACCGGGAGGTAGTCCATGCCCAGAGGGGGGGGGCGCTCTCCTGGCCTGTTGGCTGTCTGGCAGCGGGCAGGGGGAGCTGAGGCCTGGAGCCGGCTCCGGATCCAACTCCCTGGGAGACAACTGGAGAACAGAAGCACTGTTAGAGCCAGTTTGTTGGTTTCGTGTAAAAGGTCACACCTAGTGATGACCTCTGTAGTAAATGGACGATAAACGACTGTGATTCCCACAATGCCCAGCCTTAAAGAAAGCCAGACTAAACACAGGTCTCAACCTTTAATATTTAAGTAATTTCAAGAGGCTTATAGAAACCAAGTTAAGTAGGTAAGCCACAACAAGTATGGTTCACCTCCCTGGGAGACAACTGGAAAAGAAAAGTATTGTTAGTTAAAAGATCACAGCTAGTGGCGACCTTTCTAGTCAATGGACGATATAAGACGGCAATTCCCACAATGCCCAGCCTAAAGGAGTCACAGAAATGGGAAAACTGTTTTTTTAAGTGGCTTATAGAGACCAAGGGAACTAAGCCACGACAAGTATGGTTCACCACTTTAGTGTGATGCACATTTTTGAAGATTTCAATATTTGAATCATCTCTCGTACACCATGGAAACATGCTAACATCTTCACCTGCTCCAACGACGTCTTCCTGGTTTTCTGTGGGATGCTGAGCTCGCAGCTGTTGGGTGGAGCTTGGGACTGAGGTGAGGAGTCCCCTCCTTCAAGGTTGCACCCCTGAAGTTCCTCTGAGTAGCTGCCCCTCCGTGAAGTACATGGAGAGACCAGGGGGGAGTTTCTTCGCTTTTTCCCCCCCGGAGAGGTAGGCCTGGAGGACGGCGAAAGCCCGAAATTGTTTGTGGCCTCGGTCAGCTCCTCCTCCTCCACCAGCAGGGAGTCGCAGCTGGAGGCGGGGCTTAGCCAGCCGCGGGACGAGGGGCTGGAGCCCGGGCTGGGGCTGAGGGAGCCGGGGCAGCGGTCTCTGTAGGTGAAGGGGTCCAGCAGGGGGAGGTAGAGGCGCTCTCTGTCCCACCCCCCACCACCTCCACCTGTGTCCCAGTAACTGGAGATTGAGGGTGCGAGGTCGTCTTCAGGGGAGATGGTGGTTATCTGGATGCTGGGACACTCCACCACGCGAGACTCTGAAACCTGGAGGGCGGAGGAGAGAGAGCGTGAGATATCTTTAATTGTTTCTGAGTTAAAGGTGGGGTAGGTAATTTTGGAGAAACCAGCTCAAGTGCGCTAGAATTTGAAAATACACAACCGGAAAAAATCTGCCACTTCCTTACAGAGCCCCTCCTCCAACACACACGAACGCGCACATGACCAATGAGGGCACGAGATACCACGGCTTCCACAGATGACATTATTTTATGGATATTTTGTCAAAGCACTTAAGATATTCATTGCTATCGGGATGTTAAGAGCATTCCATGGAATATAACAAAAAGTGTATCTCGAGCCGGTTTCTCAAACTTACCTACCCCACCTTTAATAGACAGCAAATGCAAATGGTCAAACTCTCCGAATGTTTGTATTTGCTGCTACTCTCCGGTTTTTGTTTTATTGGAAATCAAAACACTTTTTAGATTTGGGACAGTTGCCCAGATGAAAAAAAGCAATGTGAAGATGTAACCTTGGCCTCTGGGATACTGTGATGGACACCTTTCACCATTTCTAACATAAACTATGCAATTAAAAAGTATTAAATATGAATTGATTTAAATGTAATTAGTGTCATACTAATTTTTTGTGGTCTAAACAAAAAGTTCAAGTGATTTTTTTTCATACAATACATCTGAGACAGCCATTTATATCTCTAAGAACATTCTTCATTTAATTTGACATTTCCTTACAAAAGCATTATTTTTAGCACCTGAATGGTCCATATGCTTATTTTTTCAGGTTTATGGGGTGAATATTATGTCATATTTTTAAACTGGGACAATATGCTTCAAAACTTGTCTTTCAGTGTTTGAAAACTCATGAAAGATCTAGAAAACGTATATTTCCAAAATGTTTGCGCCCGTTATTAAGGAACAATATTTACAAGATTTCAAACCGTTTGCTGCTTTTGAGAAAAAAATATTATTTTACTTTATTCCTTAGCTCAGAACAACATGTAAGGATTCAAAACGTCTCAGTCTGTAAATACCCTTTGATTTTTAAGAAGTAGGCTCTCTCTCACCTGCACAGAGCGCGCCGGCAGGCTCTCATAGGTCCCGCTGAACTCTCTGCTCTGGGCCCTGCGTGGAGGCGGAGAATGCATCCCAGCCCGCTGATTGGCCGAGGACGGCGGGCTGGGGATGCTGATCGAATGGTGGTTATCTGTAACTGATAGAAAGAATAATCAGGCTTAATGGTTGGAAACATGACAAACACTGGCACCAAAATATGACTTAGAAAATGACTTAGTCATAAGGTAAGATTGCAGATTGTAAACACTTAAGAGCACACACCCTGTGATCTTTAATGTATAATGTATCAAAACTTTACACAGAAGTTGGTCTAACTTGCTAAAAAATGCAGATTATGAAATTCTTCGAATGAGGAGTCTGCAGTGAGTCAATTTTACTTAATATGCACTTTCACTTCCACATGGCATCAATTTATCGTCTGGCTGCTTTCTCGTAAACGTAATTTCTTTTTATATCATATGTTGTGGGGTTTTGAGGGTCATGTGAACTCCCATTAATCTCTTTTCACAAACCGCAAAATGACAGTTAGCCCTAAAAACGTGCTGTTCTCCTACATCTGGAACAGAAGAGACTCATTAGATGTCAATCAAAATACTGTAAACACTATTTGTGCTACAGATCCATTTTTGATCATCAACGTGCCTTCATCATTGATTACACATCAACTTTCTTGATTAACTGATCTGTAATTGAAGCCATATGGAAAATGCATGCAACTCAAACTTGTCTTTATTTATCCAAGCCAATATCATTCAAACAAGTGCAGCATTTGTTTTCACTTTATGATAGAGGAGTAGGTTTTTTCACTTTCTTGATAAGCGCTAGAAGATGAGATTGATACCACTCTTATATCTAACATGTTCAATATGAAGCTAGATGGGGCCAAAAGACTGTTAGCGTAGCTTAGCATAAAGACTGGAAACAGATGGAAACAGCTAACGTTGCTCTGTGGAAATGTGAAAAAAACAACTAACGGCCCCAGTAAAGCTCACTTTTAAAACATTATATTTTTACTTACATCGCACAGTCAAAGTGGTACATTATGGTATTTGGTTAAGTGTCAAACTAGGTGCTTTCCTGTAGTCTTCAAGCTAAGCTTCGCTAACTGCCTGCTGGTGATAGCTAGTCATAATGGGAGTGTATCAATCTTACGTTTCTTGTGTACGACCAGGTGAAGCTACCATAGTTTGGCAATAATGTGGCAAGGCAGCACAGAATGGTTAATTGAAAAGAAGTGACAATTTACTGTATATCGGAATATTATAAACATAGGAATAACAGAAAATGCATGTTATATTCCACAATCTCACACAGTCAGACAAGAAGAATTTACTCAACAGCTTCATAAATTCTACTTTGAGTGCGAATAATATTTAAATACATGCTTTCCATGTATTATAGTCACAAATAGTGTAAAAGGGTAAAGAGGAAATTGTACCCAACATTTTTACTGCTAACAACAAACTTAACTCGGATGCTAATCTTGAAAGGCACGAAGATGATTTTTCTCCATTTCCTTTTTTCAAATGTCTAGAGGAACAGAATGTATTGCACTCTTTGCCAAAAAATCACCCAAATGAGGACACAACCCCTGAAGACCACGGCCCTCGCCACAGCCGTTCCCCAGCACGGTGTGGTGGCTCTGCATGGAGCCAAACAGAAGTTACTGGGTAATGAGCGAGGCTCCAACCGATCATCGGGCCTTACAGGCATTTTTTGGGCAACGCAGACACACAACAGCAACTGCCAACTGAATTAAGACTGAAAAATCTCTTCAAATGTTTCCTGGCAACAGAAATATTTCCAAGCGGTTAAAGCTGCAGTGCTGAGGCAACCTCTCCTTTCACATGAAACAATGATTTAGATGTTTGTGCGCAAAGCAGCAGAGAAGTTTATGAGCCACGAAAATGTACCTAACACTTTTTAAACACAATAAACTTTTATCTCAATTTTAACTGTAATATTTTATTGTGTGTGTCCTGAGTTGAACCCCTCACAAAATGTGATTAGGAACCCCACAAAGGATGATTGGCTGGATAGCAAAGGAGAAACTATACATTTTTGCTGCATTGAACACGAATGTTTACTTTATTTTCTCAAACTGTTCCAGATGTTGCTTTTGTCTGGTAGAAAAGGGATAAATTTGCCTCCTCAGGGCTCTTTTAACTATTTAGAAAACAATAATTAATTTGTATTTAGACCTACATTTAGAAGAGTTTATTACTACCAAGATGAACTTGATGTACTTGAACACAACTTGGGAGTACTTTTTGTCCCTTTTTTTGGGGAAGCCTCCTCTTAGTTCTATCATGTTTAAAATAAAGTTATACTTCGTACCTTTCATAAGGAGTTATTCTTCCCTAACAGAGGGACTAGGGGCCGGGCAATAAAAAAATGTTTATTGGGCGGCTGCGGCTGAGGAGGTAAAATGGTTCTCCATTAATCGGAGAGTTGGTGATTCGATCCAACATTTCCATGGGCAAGATGCTGAACGCTACATTTCAGGATTATTGGGATATTCCACTATATTATCGCACATTGCAGATTTTCATCATATATATTTTATATCCCAATCAGGATGCCCAACAACGGGTCATAAAAGTAATCAGAGGGTCCAGATATGAGCAGGATAAAAAAACAGAGGAATCAAAAAAACGTTCTGCTATAAAAACTGTTAATTTAGACTTTTCTACTCTTTCACTGTGAATCACTGAATAATTTTAGACAGTCCTCATTAAGTGGACATGACATGTACTACATTAGATACAGATTTTTTTAAATCATGACATGTTGTGATCCTTTTTTACATTTACCTAAATCCAGACACTGACCATTACCTCCATAATAATTTAGTTTTAGTTTAATGTTACCTTGATAAAAAGTTGTTCATATACAAATAAGTTCTATGCAGATATACATAATATACATTTGGGCTAAATTTGATATCTATGGACCAAACGAATACCTGTGCTTTGATTTGAAGTATCAGTAAAAAAAATGGGGATCAGCCGTAACCTTGACTTCTATAGAAATAAATCTTAATAACTTCTCTCTGTTTTTATTTTTTTGTGAATTACTAAATACAGATCATAGTCATACAATTCAGTGTTTCTGCTTTACATGTACCTAACGAAGTCACTTTGCATTACCGACTTTTCGCTCCATAACAAACTTTAGACCTATTTTATCTCTTCTAAAAGTTTGGATTTAAAGTGACAGAAAAAGGCTTTAAGCTCTTCCTAAATCTTAAAGTCTGTCCAAAAAAATAAAAGTTTGGTTAAACTTCTCACGACTGATAGACAATTGAAACAGCGACCAGACGTGGTAAATTGACTTTGTTTTAAGAGGTCAAAGGTTAATTCCGTTGTCTTCCACATGTTGTATAAACAGATATGGAGAGTTTTAAACATGAATCTGAAGGCACAAGAGCTGAGAAAACGATTCCGTGCTGCTCTGAAAAAATAAAAATCAAGAGTGGAGAATGTTTCTGTTGTTTGTGCTGTAGTTCACTTTCATGCCTTGGGTGTGGTAATACAACTGTATGCCAGTGTGGGCGGGAAAAAATGAGAGAGTGGATGTGAGGATACGAGGTGAGAGTGTGTGTGTGTGTGTGTGTGTGTGTGTGTGTGTGTGTGTGTGTGTGTGTGTGTGTGTGTGTGTGTGTGTGTGTGTGTGTGTGTGTGTGTGTGTGTGTGTGTGTGTGTGTGTGTGTGTGTGTGTGTGTGTGTGTGTGGTGAAAAATGGGGGAGATGGAGGTTGAGTGAGGGAGGGAGGTGTATATGTGCTGCCTGTTCAGTACACAGAGGTTGAGGTTCCTTCCCAGATGGCAGCTGTTAACTCTCCTCACACGCACAGCTGATTAGAAACACATTGAGTCTGGGGCTGCACGCACACATGCACAAACACACACGTGCACACAGACAGGAATACAATCAGATATACACACACACACACACACACACACACAACACACGAAAACAAACACACAATAACAATATACTCAGGGTCACATGCTTACAGATAGAGGCACGCATACAACACACACATACGGAATTCACATAAGCACATGTAGAAGAAGGCACACACATCATACAGCAAGCAAGACACACACACACATAAACAAACACACACACACACTGGCACACTCACACAAGCAAAAACATATAGAAGAAGGCCTTCTTTACAACACATGCGGCCACACATGCACGTTGACAAACATACGTAGACACACACACATAGACACACACGTAGACACACCACACACACACACACACTGGCACACACACATAAGCAAAAACATATAGAAGGCCTTCGTTACAACACATGCAACATGCACACACACACACACACACACACACACACACACACACACACACACACACACACACACACACAGCAACACATTGAGACAGTAACACACAGACAACAAACATACACACACATGATCACTTCACATAGGCACAGACATAAAGATAAAGGCCCTTACTTACAGCACATGCAACATGCAGCCACACACACACACACAACAAAAACACACACATAATCAATTCACATGAGCACAAACATAGAAGAAGGCCCTCATTTCCACACACAACACAACACAACACAACACACACACACACACACACACACACACACACACACACACACACACACACACACACACACACACACACACACACACACACACACACACACACACACACACACACACACACACACACACCACACACACACACACACACACACACACACACACACACACACCACACACACACACCACACACACACACACACACACACACACACACACACACACACACACACACACACACACACACACACACACAGTTCCCATGCATTATAAGCCACACTGTCAGACTTCCTCTGGAACTCACCCAGACTGCTGCTGCTGGAGGGCTCCAGGTGCAGCAGGGCGCACTCTGCACTCTCCTCCCCGGGAACAGAGCTCTCCGGCTCGGCTGTGAGAACCGGTGATGGCCCCTGGTCCTCCTCAAACACCAACTTAAACTCGAACTCACCCTCTTCCCAGCCGGAGCCCGGCGCGGCCCCCATCGGACCGGATACAGATCGAGTGATACGACCTTATCTCCCTGCGTCGGTACAGCGACTTTTACGCATAGACTGAATAGCTTTTACGTCGTTGGTGCGCCAAACAAAAAACGTTTCCGGAGATATTCCCACAAAATGTCTTTCTCCTATGTTCTTATCATTGTGCAAGTTGTCTATCCATCCTCCTGTTAGGTTTTGGTGTAACTTCAGCAACTTTTCCAAGTCTTTTCCACACGATGATGACTGCCTCTTTCTCGCGTATTTGCAACTTTAACAACTTGGATGCCTTGCGGTCCAAATCAAATCTTTGCTCTGGATATTTCACAATCTTTTCCGAATCACATCCCCAAGTTACAGCCGGTTCTTTCATTCTAGCTCCATCGCAATCCCCGTGTAGCTTCTTCTTCTTCAAGACAGAGAGAGAGAGGGGAGGAAAAAAGTTTATAAAATATTTTTGTCGTCCTTTACCCTTAATTGCCTTTGGGTGGGTTTCCCAGCTCCAGTTGGTCCGTTACTCATTCCCCATAGGACCTCCTGCCTGTCAGTCAAGTATCCCCCTGCCCAACCTCCTGCCTCCCTCTTCTCCCCCCTCCTCACTCACTGTGGAGGTTTATCTTTTTCTCAAACTCACATCACATTAACTAAACCAGTGGTGCAATGTAACTAAGTACATTTACTCAAGTACTGTCCTTAAGTCAACAATTGAGGTACTTGTACTTCACTAGAGTATTTGTTATGTTATGCTACTTTATACTTTTACTCCACTACATTTTGTGAGGAAATATAGTACTTTTTACTGCACACATTTTATTTCACATACTGTATATATTTATATAGTTGCTATTTAATATGTAGATTTAGGTTCGTATAAATCAACAATTCATTATCATATATTTGTATACGTTAAACTACCTAGTTGTAGATGAAGTAATTCAAATAAACAACCTCTTACAGTACAGTGCAACATTAAAGTGATGAACACATTAATGCACCAATCATTTTAATACAGTATTTTACATAAAATAGGCCATTCTGTTTAACGAGTACTTTTACCTTTGGTACTTAAAGTATTTTTTAAGCCGATTCTTTTGTACTTTTACTTCAGTAAGATTTGTATACAGGACTTTTACTTGTAACTGAGTATTTCTTACACTGTAGTATTGCTACTTTTCTTCCACCTCTGAACTCAACACGCCAAGATCCATTTTTAAAACCCTAATAATGGCTTGTCTTTATCTTATTTTGCATCATCCACAGACCTCTTTCCTGCTGTTTTCCCACTATTATCCTCAGTATAAACCTCTCTTTGACACATTTAAGCCTAAAACACTTTGATTATTATTCTGGTCATGAGCAGGAGTCATGGCAAGCAGCTCGCTGTCTTTAAAACCTGCCATTGTGTGCCGGCTGCATGGCCACCAGCGCTGTGATGTTAACTGTCAGTAGTGAACATAAGAGGGCCTATTTCCTGTGGCGATGAACACGACAGCCCCCCCCCCTTTTCTTGCTGTCACTCTTCCCTCTCCTCCCCCTTTTTTCCTCTTCTTCTTTTTTTTACCCCACTTCTCCTTGTCCCTCCTTCTCTTGAGTCTCCCCCTCCTCCTCTTCCTCTCGACCAAAGATCTGTTTCTCATTATCCTCTGTAGTCTGCTCTCTGTCTGAGTCAGGAGACGAAGAACTTAAATAAACACTCTCTCTCTCTGGCTCTCTCCAGCTCCTTATTCCTCCCTCCTCTTCCTCCCCCTCCTCCTCTCTGTCCTCCTTTCCTTGTCCTCCTCTGATTCTCACAATCATTATGCATGTTATACTTGCATGTGGCTAGGGGCTTGCTTCACTCTCCCTGTCATCCTCTTGGGGTTGTGTGGGCAGGCCTTGGGTCTCAAGATGTTGCTGTCTGGTAAGAGAGGAAAGGGAAAAAGTGCCACCAGCAGGGCCAAAGGCAGAATCTGATGTACCCACACTCCCACCAAACCCCGTTAGGGTTAGGGTTAGGGTTAGGGGTTAGGGGTTAGGGGTTAGGGGTTAAATCCGATGCAAATTAGTTAATACTGTAGACAGAGGGTTAGGATTAGGATTATTGAGTCAAGTATTTTGCCCGATGACACTATGACATGTCAACCGATAGGGATTTAACTTCTAATACTCCTATTGTCTTCCCCACGAGCCTCAGAACAGCCGCTCATCGGACACTATGACAACATTTAGAAAACACATTCTCTCAACATCCGTGGTAAAAATGAATCCAAAGAGAGTTAATTTAGTTGTTTGTGTGTTCTGTTTGTTTGGGGCCCCATGGTGGCTATTAGTAAGGTTGCTACTTATTATAGTACCAGTCTAGACTATCTCACAGCCTGCAACGGAAGTATATCCCCATGTATGCTTTGTTACCTAATTGCATGGTTTTCCTTATGCCTCGTCTTGATTTGACTCACTTTAAGCACCAGGTTCTTTACATGATCTTGTTTCCTACAGTAGTAACCTCTTAGTGCAAGAAGGGTTCTCGACTAATCATCACAGCGATGCGTCCTAACCCCAACACTCGCTGAATCCTTTTATCGGCGACTAAACAGCGCATCAGCTGCATGGCTCGCAGGGAACTTGGGAAAGAAAAGTACAAGGTATTATCCAGAACGTTTGCACCATACCATGCAGCAGCAATGCAGCATAAGACTTCAGACCAAAAACAAAATGATGAAATACAATCCAGAAAGTAGGACAGTACATGATTACTTTTAATTCACTTTGTAATACTTTTACATTTGTATTGTTGAAATGTTATCTTTGATATTGCTTAACTTTCACTGAAAAGGTCCATGTTGTCAGTATGGTATGATTGTCATTTCTGTTTTCTTTGCAGGAAAACAAAAAACAACGGTCCATATGTTCTGGAAGGTTTGACGAACGGTTTTGCAGGGCAGAGTAAGAACAATAACATTTAGAAGTGGATCCAAATCACAGGGCGGATACACGCATTGCTTTTCACTTTTAGAAACAAATGTAGCAGAGGTCTGCCCTCTCTGAATGTTGTAATGGTGTTATTGCAAATTAGCCTTTTAGCACAGCCTCAGGGGTCTGTGTTTCCGTGTATGAAAATACGAGTGACTAAATCTTTGAATCTTGACACAGGATATAACACATTGGGAAAGTTATAGCAACAATCATTTCTCCATCTCAATCATCGCAAAGTAAACAGAACTGCAGCTTTCATACTTCAAAGTCATTTTGCAGTCATTTGTGTTTGCATGTCCTTGGTTGGGTGACCCGGGATTACATCGCTTTGTGTTGTGGCAAAAGTTGAGCCAGGTTCAACGTATTGGGGTTGTTTTCCCGCTGGAGGGAAGCTGGTTTCCTAACTTTTACACAGATCCTCAGTTGAGTCCAAGAAGGCACACGTCATTGTTTTGGAAAGGCTGGTGTCTAGTTTTCAAACTTTTTTTTTTGTGAACAATGTTTTTTAGTGTGGATGGAAGGCGAAAATGGGGAGATTGACCGCGATAGGCTAAGGGGCGGGACATCTCTGAGGGGTTGTCCAATCATAACAGAGCTGGTCAGCTAACCAATCAGAGCAGACTCGGCTCTGATTTTAGACAGAGGGGGAAAAGAGGTGCCACAAAATACAAATATGAAAATGAAAATGAGCATTATAGGGCCCCTTTAATTGTCAACTAACTATAAAAATAGGTTTCACATCTGGAACAACAGAACATAAGTTTGCCAAAATTGTAAAAGCAACAGTTTTAGTTTAATGAGGTTTTGAGCTGTAAGACCAAATGAACACTGTGGTAACTGGTTAATAAAGCCAAACTACATGCAGGTACTTTATGAATGCAGACATTCATTTGTGCAGACACAAAGCCTCTCTAGAAATGGAAAGTTTTTGGAGGGTTGTGAAACTGTAAAGCTGAATGGCTAATAAATTGTTTAAAGGAGAGCAGCAATGAGATGGATGAGTGCAACACAGAGGAGGAACTGCTGAGTGTCAAGTTTATGGGAGGGAAAGAGAAAAGGGAAGGAGTGATTTCCGGTGGTGTGTTGCCATCAGCTGGTGAACGGCAGAACAGTTTTACAGAAACCTTAAAGTAAAACCTTGAGCTTGGAATCCACACCCTGAGGACACAAATTATTGTTATCAAAGTGTTGCAACCCGGGCGCTGACACACTTATTGTTTGAGCAAGAGAGAGAAATGATTTATCGAATCTGAAGCTTTTACTTGAGAACATTTTGTGCTTTTAAAAACAAGTCAAATATATTTTCCGACAGCCTAAAACAGGACACGTTTACTCCACTTTCGTTTTACCTACAATTAGAAACCCATATTCTATCACTGTACATAGTAATGTAACTTATGGCATTGTTTGCTAAATAAAAAACAAGTCATTAGATGAATATGTAAATTGTTACTGTTCAGATGTATCCATATCAATTTAAGCTTGGACAAAATATGAATTATTTGATAAAGTATTACATTGAATTTGAGTACATGATGGTTAAACAATAGAACACCTAGATTTTACACATATATTTTCATGACACATTTGTCAAAAAAAAGGTTGTTAATGAATCAATATTATAGGAGACAGGGTTTTTTAACATATACGATTACTTTTACAACTTTATTTCATTGGCTCTGTTACCATCTTTTGATTATATCTTGGTGTACATTTATCTTATTGCCTACTTCACATGCCCCAGTATTTACAAATGAAAGACAATAATGTGCTTATAAGAATATAGATACGTTTCATGGTTAAATGATAGTCTTTACATAGAAGTTCTTATCAGAGTAATCAAACAAAATGTTATATATTCTATATAACCATAAAGACAAATGGGTGACAGCTGTCATAAAAGTGTTTTTTGATAAAAAGCATGGACTTCAATTTAATATCACCTGATTTAGTTTAATCTCTCCTGCATAAGTCATAGGGTCGTGATGTCAAGTTTGTATGGTTCTGTATACTTTATAAGTATAGTTATATGTGATAGGTAAACTGACTAGATGTTGGACTATCACATTAGCTCAAGGAAAGTAAAACCACACCCTTCTTTCCGCCGAAGAGACTTACAGTAATTTACAGTGCCCTTCAATAATGTGGAAATCCATTTGTATTTAGTGAGTCATTCAAAAACGTTGAGCAGGATTTTCCATATCCGCCTTAAGATATCAATTTTATATATACATGTTATTCTTCCATGAAAAAGTAAATGAATGAACTCATAATTTAAGTACTTCAGTATGTAACCCATGTAAAAAAACAACCTTCACTGATTGTACATAAGACTTGCACTTACACTCGCACATAGACATATATATATATAATTACGTTTTACAATCATTTCCCTCATATCTGTATAAAAGTAAATCAGGTGTTTGACCTAACGCCATCGTTGTTACTCTAATTCGTTCTGTTGCTTACATGTTTACCCGTTTTTGAACTCCTATACTGTCCTCCTGTGTTTCCCTCTTACTCTGTTGACGTCTGAATTTCCCTACAGGGTTCAATAAAGGTCTACTCTACTGTATCTCATCTCAGTACCAATAAATGTAGGGGTATCAATACATATAACTTTGCATTGTGTCATGTAAATACAGTTATGTGTGCAGTTTCCCGTACAAGCTTTTATTTAAATGAATCTAAGTCAAATGTAAAAGTGACAAACCTATTGGTGTTTGTTCAGTCTTAAGGACATAGATCATTTTGGCTTCAGCTCGTCTAATTTAAGTGAAGGTGAACCAGTTAATCAATCTTTCCCTGAGAGTAGAAAGGTTTATTATTTGAGCTTCTTTTTATTACTCCACATTTCACCACTCCCGAAAACCAGCATTCCTTTCAGAGTCAGAAACTTGTATGAACGGGTGAGAGTGTGTGTGTTGTGCGTGTCTACCTGTGTGCGTGTTTGCGCTTGTGTTACCATTAGCATCCATGACACAGGGAACTTGTGCAAGAGTTTGAATAACCTATAACTTCTCCTTTTCTCCGAAATCGGTGTCACAGAATCAGGTTCATGCAAAGTAGGTTTACACAAACAAAGAAATGTCTTTGGTGTATAATGGTGCATACATAAACACAACAAGAAAACTCAATCTGTGAGAAAAGGAGCAAATTTAGAATTGTTTTAAAGCTATTTTAATAACTTGATGTTTACTCCAAATGTCACAGATGAAAACCCAGAGGAACTACTGCTCTAGTTAAAATTATGTGAAGTATAGCAGAATTTAAAGCGGCCACTTGACTCATTACATTACATGTTAGACGCTTTTATCCAAAGCGTCTAACATAGGTCTACTCAATACGGTGGACAATCTCCACAGGAGCATTTTGGGGTGAAGTGTCTTGCCCAGGGACACAACGACATGCTGACTGCAGTGGGGTTTGAACCTGTGCTCCCCTGATCCGAACACCAACGCACTAATCCACTGCGCCACACGCCTCCAAGCAGAGACTCACAAGCAGAGAAACACAAAATATGCTTTTTCATATATGGAACTTGGACATGCTTTCCGGAAGAATGCATGCTTGTTTATATAAAAAAAAAAACACCAGATTGTAATCATATACGGTGATGAGTATAAGAGCCTGACGTGTTTGAAGGAAGGACACACCTCCCTCTGCCTGTCTCTCTCTAACCTCAGCATGTTGCAGCCTGTGGGGCAGGATGTGATCCACTTTATTATGGACAGAGCTAACACACAGCGTCACACAAGGGAAGCGCTGCCGGACAGAGCGGAGCAGCGGAGGGATAATTGAATCTGACGCTCATCACAGAGAGACATCCAGTCCTGGGAAGGTCAGTCACTCTCGTGTGTTCACTGGAAAAGTTAATTTAGGACTTTTTATTGACATTTTACTTGAGATTGTACTAACATGTGCCTTTTTCCTATTCTTGTTTTTTCCATCTTAGAGTAATTATTTACTTTTCTTGACTTGATTATTTACAAGGAACAGATTTATTACAAACGTATGACTCGTTTTTTTGCTTTACTTTGGACTGCATGATAACTATATATCAGGTATTTCTTCATTTGCAATCACAGTTCCTGGTTGTGCAAGTCATTTTGGGAATGGTCATTTCTCAGATTTTTTCAAAAAATGTTAAGGTTTATTACGTTTTTTGGAAAAAAGTATCTTTGTGCAGTAAATGCATTATGTTGCATATTCGTTTACAATCCTTTTCTTAGTTTGTCATTGAGAAAGAAATGACATAACTGTTTACTCCGAGTCCTTAGCGTACTATTTCCATTACAACAGCACATTTATGTCAAAAATCCATTGCAAAATTAAGAGATAATCTGCAGATGTTTCTGTTTTTACATTACATTACATGTCATTTGTTAGACTTACATACATTCAGTACTGTGGACAATCCCCACAGGAGCAATTTGGGGTGAAGTGTCTTGCCCAGGGACACAACGACATGCTGACTGCAGTGGGACTCAAACTTGCTATCCCCTGATTCGAAGTCCATCTACTATCCACTGAGCCACAGCCTCCTCCTTTTTACCTGAACTGACAGACAGCTGTGGGTTGGAAGTTGGAACACTTGTGTCACATAGTGTATATCAAAAAAAGAAAAAAAGCTGTCATTTTGAGCATCCACTTGTTGTTCAGACCCAGCTTTACATGGATGTTTTTGTGATGTAAGCTTTTGTTTACTCTTCACTTGGGTTTACAGCCATCAGGGGACAATAAACAATTTGCTATTGTTGGACCAGAGCTAGGAAATTAAGACTTAATCAGGAAGTAAGGGCTTGATGTCTTGTTCTCAGAAAAGGAAGTGAGATCCTATCGCTCCTCTATGTACATCACTCATGTTCAATAAAAAAATTCTATTAAGCATATGAATCTACAATCGTAGTAAGCAATGCATCATCTTTAACTGTGTTTTCTACATTAAGGTCAACCATCTGTGACCTCTGCAGTGGATGTTACTGTTTCCACGTGATAGGACAGTGAGGAAGAAAGAGAGAGAGTCAAAGTGAATCAAAGTCTGTTTCGAAATACTGCTCTTCTTTGACGTAGTGCTGCTAGTGTTTGACATGTTTTAGCACGCTGCGCTACCCTGTTGGCTGAAGGTCTGAGGTGAATATTTTAGAGGCTGCGTCAGGGTAGCAACCGTCCTGTAGTCCTGGAAACAGCTAATGTACCATCGGTAAACAATCATTTCTGATTATCTGGGCTCTTTTTGGCGCTGGCACAGTATCTGAATAAAATGACATGTGAGAGAAATGAATTACCAGTACGGTATTTTGTTAATGGAAGTGCTATTAATTTTTTTTTCAGTTTTTACTACTTCCTTTTTATCATTTCAGTTATTTTTAGGAGGCATGTGGTGCAGTGGATAGAGCGTTGGTGTTCGGCTCAAGGGAGCACAGGTTCAAACCCCACTGCAGTCAGCATGTCGTTGTGTCCCTGAGACACTTCACCCTAAATTGCTGCTGTGGGGATTGCCCACAGTATTGAGTATGTAAGTCGCTTTGGATAAAAGCGTCTAACAAGTTATTTTAGTGAACCATTTCCTTCACCAAGACGCTGTTTTTACCACATGTTCCTGGAACTCAAGGGATCAATGCAATGGCAGTCCACATCACACAGACGTGGAGAGATAGACAATTAAAGCTTTTGAAACGTTTTGGAAATGGTTATTATTACAGGTTGCTAAAAATGTAGATTTCAATTTCATGATAGCTTTTATAAATACATCTAATATCAGGATTGTGTATTATTGAGTTTTAATAACAAGTTTTGTGCAACTTTATTCAAATTAGATGTGATTGAAGTGTTGAGAGGCACCAAAAAACAACAACCTTTGTGCCAGATAGCACATAATACAAATCAGTGATGAAAGACTGTTATCAGAATTAAGTCTATTCCAAACACCAAAAAGGATACATTTTTTATACTTTAAACGTAATTAAGACTTATTCTGTCCAAAAAGTGTTTTTTTCATCTAAAAATCATCTTTATGAGAGACTTAATCATCATTTTTGAGATACAGATACTGGCAATTCAATTAGAAAGGTAACCACACATTTATTGGACTTTGATAGAAATGTAATCACAGTTAAATGTAAAGGAACCATGTTCAAAATGAATCTTATACAAAGAGAAGAGATGTAAAGAGACAGGTTTAGCACGTCCTATAGAAGCTGCAGAAATTACAACAGACATTCAATGCAATCATTAACCTAAACATATATACAGATACATAAATGTCAATCTGTACACCTAACTCTTTACTTTGATGCCAGACATGTTGACGCTTTACCTTTTTATCCTATCCTCAGGTCCCAAAACTTCTTCCATCATGTCCAACGCCACTGGATCCCGCTTGACGATCACAAATGGCACAGCCGGAAACCATGAGGATAAAAGCGTGGTGAGCAATGACTTCGCCACGACGCTGGGAGCCCTCATCCTCGGCCTGGTCTTCCTCCTGGGCGTCCCCGGAAACCTCTTCATCGTCTGGAGCATCATGGCTCGCATCAAACGGCGCTCGGTCACCACCCTCCTCATCCTCAACCTGGCGTGTGCAGACGGCCTCCTCATGGTCCTCACCATCTTCTTCATCGTCTACCTGACCATGCAGACGTGGGTGTTTGGAGACGCCATGTGCAAATGCCTGTTCTACCTGTGCAACGCCAACATGTACGCCTCCATCTTCCTCATCACGTTGATGAGCGTGCACAGGATGGTTGCCGTGGTGATGCCGATGAGCCTCTCCACCCTGGTGAGCAAGAAGGTGGTGAGGAGGGTGATCTGTTGCACGTGGGTGTTGGTGATGCTCATCGCTATCCCCTCGCTGGTGTTTCGAGACGTCAGAGAGGACCATGATGAGAAGAAGAGAACAAGGCATGTGTGTGCACCCAATCACACAAAGCCTACACATGTGAGTATAAGCAGAAGTACTCAGATCATTAACTTAAAATAATCCTAAAATACTCAACATCAAGTAACAGTCATGAATTTGAATTCTTAGTATTATGAGCTTAAAGGAGCCCTTTTAGTTGGATTGGTCAACCACTTGTCCCGCCCCTTAGCCTATCACGTACAATGTGTTGGAGCGCTAGCCAATAGAAGCACGAATGTAACATAATTTTATATAATTTATCATTTATAATTAGTAATAAAGTTCTGCTACATTTCATATACGCATTAAATGTGGTTTATATGTACAAAATCGACTAACAATTAACTTGAATTGTAGCAGTAGATGAAGAACAATGAATGAAATTACTCGAGTAAAAAGTACAATTCTGTCAAAAAGAAAAGAAAGAAAAGCAACAAATCCTTACATCTGAAATTATTGAATGTTCTGTTAAATCATTAAAGGTGGGGTAGGTAAGTTTGAGAAACCGGCTCGAGATACACTTTTTGTTATATTCCATGGAATGCTCTTAACATCCCGATAGCAATGAATATCTTAAGTGCTTTGACAAAAAATCCATAAAGAAATGTCATCTGTGGAAGCTGTAGTAATGTAAAAAGCACAACCAATCATTTGAGCCGGCCCGGCTAAAATAACTGGATGGCCTACCTGCCTGTCAGCCTTCCATCGGGGCACAAACTTATCTCGTGCCCTCATTGGTCATGTGCGCGTTCGTGTGTGTTGGAGGAGGGGCTCTGTAAGGAAGTGGCAGATTTTCTCCGGCTGTGTATTTTCAAATTCTAGCGATCTCGAGCCGGTTTCTCCAAAATTACTTACCCCACCTTTAACTTATTAACTGACTTATCAGTTCTGCTGATTTTTTTAAAACTGTTGGGTAGTTTGATTCAAAACAACACTTCAAATTGTATAAGATGTTTGTATGTAAACATCTAAATGTGTACTAGTACTGCACATTCATATTTAAGTAGTAGGCCTAAATGTAAATCCAACCCCGAAACTACAAGTGAGTGACTTATTTCTTCATGAACAAAAACTTCTGTTCTATACAGATTAAATAAATAAACAGTATACTTCTCTTGTTTGGACAGATCCAGTCATGTCTGTAGAAACACATTCTGTTATTGCAATTAGAACATCTGTTTTGTTTCCTCCTGTGCAGGAAAGGTTTCAGTATGCCTTTGAGACGGTGTCTGGGTTTATCTTGCCGTACACGGTCATCATCACGTGCTACGTCCTCATCCTGAGACGCCTCCGACAGACCAAGTTTCGCAGAACGGTCCGCAGCGAGAAACTCATCCTGGCCATCGTGGTGATGTTTGGCCTCTTCTGGCTGCCGTACCACGTCATCAACATGATACAGGTGTGTGACAAGCATTTCTGATTTCAGATCAATTATATTTTTGAATGAAAACTGACTGTGTTTTGTTCTATTCAAGGTGACAGCTCAGTGGTACGATCCTGAATCACCCATAAGAAAAAAGTGAGTTATAAAAGATTTGTACTTATTTCAAAGACAATGATTTTGGTACTTTGGAGTTTTTCATTCTGATCTTCAACAGATAAAGTCAAAGAGACTGGTCTAAGATGCTAAATAAAATAGTTTGATGTGAGACATTTAAGAGTTGAGTTATCTCTTATATAGCTGCGAAAACATATCTATTATTTCCTACGGTATAAATGCAAATTTTATATAAAATGTCATAAAAACGTTGATCACTTGACAGCTGTTTTAAATAGCATAGCAGCATAGTTGCTAGAGGCAATACAAAGCAATCATTAGACAAATATTCATCTTAACCCGATAACTGTTTTTCAAGGCTATTTATATCATTTCTGGTAGTTGTTTTGTCTTTTAAGTTGATTTGTGCATCATTGCAGTTTTGCAGCCAATTGTATTTCATATGATTTTCTTTCAGTGTTTCTTCACAGGTTGTTTTGCATGTCTTTGTATTCATACAGCGTCTGTCAGTGGTTGCTTTGTGTCTCTTTCAGTGACATTTTGCAGATGAAGCCCAGGGGAAATACGGACCCCTCAGTGGGCCTGTTCAGTATCCATTCATTTACATACTTGTAGCAGTGGCGAGCCGTCAGGGCCCTCTAGGCCCTCTGTGAGGGCCTAAGATATTCCAAAAAATAATATTTAAAAACATTAAAAAAATATATATTTTTTTAAAATATATATTTTTTTAATATTATTTTTGTTATATTTTTCATTAGTTTTACCGAAAAAAAACTTGATTTAATAAAATAACATTTCCAAAGAAATAAATCCTTCGAATCTGCCTGTTCAGTCTCTGTTTGAATGTCAGTTACTATAGCGGGCCTCTCTGCGATTCACAGAGGGCCCGCTATAGTAACTGAACGAGAGAGTAATGTCAAATGACAGTACAATTGACCAATCATATCTTCCCTCTAAATGGGTGGGTTTTATTATCGCGGACTTTATGACGAGTTCCGCCCGCTGTGAAACTGTTCTTGTTTCCATAGCAACAACAACTTCCTGTCAACAGCGTGAACTCGCCTTCAAAATAAAAGCATGCCAAATTACACTTAAGACATACAACTGCAATGAAAGTAACAAACACAATGCAATATCATTTTCAATGTCAAAGAACACAAATTGGGTTCACAGGTGTTGTTTTGTGTGGTAGAGGGTCGCTGTCATTGATGCGTTTTGCACCCTGGGCCGTTGTTTTGATATTCCGCTGAAGTATACGCTGTGACGTAATAACGTCTTTTTTTCGAGGGAAGGGGTGGGGGTCAGAGGGCCTAGGTATAAAGCTCACGGCTCGCCACTGACTTGTAGTACTTCATGAGTTAGAGCAGGGGTGTCAAATGCGGTCCGCGGGACATTTTGAAATGGTCCTCAGCAAATTCAAAAGGTATAATGGAATACGGCCCAAATGAAACTTGAGCTTTTCTTGTACTTATGAAATATATCTGTAAACATTTACAGTGGTGTTCATGTGTCAATAAGCCCAATTAATAATAAATTCAGTCAATTACATTTGAAAATATGTTCTAACAAATCTAAGTCGAAAAGAAAAAAGCCCAATAATTTATAAACTTGAAATATGCCTTTCCAATTCCTTAATTTTGATTATCAATCTCTAGTGAGCGGCCCGGCCCTTCGAATATTTTTCTGTAAGTGGCCCTCGTGAAAAAAGTTTGGACACCCCTGAGTTAGAGATGTTTTTGTAAAGCTCTCAAGGATGCTACCAAGCTTCAACAATTGACATAAGTAGTAGTCTAAAATGCTGTTTATCCGCAGATTGGACAACATCACTCGGACCAGCCGTGCAGTGACTTCGGCTCTGGCCTTCATCAGCAGCTGTGCCAACCCCGTCCTCTACACCTTCGCAGGGAAGTCGTACATCAAGAAGAACGGCTTCGCCTTCATGGCTCGGCTCTTTGAGGGCACGTCGTTGGACCAAACGGGAGCGAAAAAGACAAAAGAGACTGTGGGACTCAGTACTGTGGACTCTGCGAACGACTAGGAAACTTTACAAAACGGGAGAACTTGAATGATCGCTCCCCTTTAAGAGAAACGATGTAAATAATACAAGTGTGTAGATATTGGTTTAAGCAGCTTTAGTCAAACTAAAAACACTGGCTGAGAGCTGTCAACTATTTTTGTTGTAGATAAATTGTGTTTGGAAGTCATTGGTGTCAAGACAGGACTTTAAATAGTTGTTCCTGTATTTCAGAAATGCACATTTTGACATTGTGTTGCAGATAATTGCGCTGCTTTTCACTTTCCATACCCCGATGTATCCTACTGGTATACAAGCAAGCTTCTTTACATTTTAGGCCCATCACTTCCCTTTATAGTTTTTAGGAGAAATTGTCAGTCATGTCTGAAAGTAGACTGCCGCTTCCCGTTTAACACTGCCATGTAAAAAGTTTGTCAAATGATCCTGCATGTTAGTGAATTGTATAGTTTCGTTCACGTGTAATGTGCCATTTTTATCATGATGCAAAGGATATTGAATCTTAAGTCATTTTTTGTAGTATTTTCAAGTAACGTACTGTTTTATTGCACTGTAGGTTTAACATACCAATTTTTTATCAAAATAAAACTTTTAACTTACCCACATCTCTATCCATACTCCAATCCACTTTGAGTAAACCTGAAAGACTTCAAATACCCAGCTGTACACATTAAAATAATGTTATCGGCTTAGAGACTTTTACAATGTTTCCTCAACCGTTTTCATTGATGGGTCGGTAGACAGTTTACCATTCATTCAATAAGGTCTCCCTGTTCAATTCCTTTGACTAATACCTCAAACCAAACTACATATGAACTCCATTTAAGGCAAATAAAGATGACAATACAGAGTTTTAATAAGAGATGTTACTTTTATTTACAAGTTCATACACAACATTTTAAGTATGGATGTAGTCTAAACAGTTTGAGATTATAAAAGACTTTACATATGTTCTAATTTCAATTTGCCCTTAAACTAATAGTATATATATATATATATATAACATATCAAAATGAATATTAATGAGGGCACATACACATCACAAATGAGCCTACAAAATGAAAGTGCATGCAGTAAAAGGTTAAATGTTTGCAGGGCTGTAGCAGTAGACATCAGCTTCTTCTATACCAACCTGATCAACATGCATCCATTCCAGGCTCTTCAATCCTAAGAAGACAAATGAAAACCACAAGAGATAAGTCTCAGTTTGCAATTCAATGAAACATCCTCTCTAGTTTGTGCATCGTCAAACCCATCAGCGCAGTGAAATAATAATCATGAGTATCAGGTGAAACACGGACTCACATGCAAATCATCATTAAGGTTTGACTGTATGATGCAGAACTAAAGCTTTAATACAGAAATGTGTCATCTTAATCCACACAGATGAACCCCTTAAACATTTTGTTCAACAAAGTTAGGGAAAGTCAGAAAATGCCTGATTGGTGCATCCTTATCTAAAGCATTACTTAGGCCTTTAAGGATTAAGTAAACTGACAGCAGAGTGTGCAACCACACGTGGTAAAGTGCAGATATATCTATTATCCAACAAGACAGATACTGACCTTAGCAAGACTCCTTTAGTCCTGGTTTGTAAATCCTTTAAAAAAAGAAATGACAGATTAGTCTCAGTTTGCAATACAATAACACATCCTCACTAGGGTCTGTTTTGTCAAACCCATCAGCGCAGTGAAATAATAATCATGAGTATCAGGTGAAACACGGACTCACATGCAAATCATCATTAAGGTTTGACTGGGATGCATAGCAACTGTTTAAGTTTGCATGGTTAATTTTTATAGTTGTCTACAACTTATTCGTCATGTTGCACCGGCAGTTCAACGCGACAGTAACGTTCAGTTTTTACTTTAAGATCATCTGGAGGATCTAGTTTGTGGGTGGTGCCGCTAAGAAGCATTGCCTTATACAGAAAGGCTAGTTAATGTAGTCTATTATAAACATCTATCAACACATAACCTCAAAGTTAATCATGAAATATCTTTAAAAAGTTATAAAAAAATATATAAGATCCTTGAAAAGCTACTTTGAAGGACTGTTACAGCAAGGTGTAAACCGTCCAAAGAGTGCACAATATCTCGAAAAAGTGACATTTGAAGGTCTACCAATTGCACTAGTAAAATAATTAATGTAATTCTAGTAAACTTTAAATACAGTGCAGATTGCTCACAACTGCCACAGAGCTCTTCATGGTCCACACAAGTGGCTAATAACAAAAAATACCATTACAAAAATGAAATAATATCATGTTATAGGTAATAAGGCAACTAGTAAAGATGTTTTAATCCAAAGACCATTTCAAATATCAGCAACTCTGGAATAAGAGGCCTCCTCGGCTCGTTGCTACAGACCATGCGGTCCTCTGAAGCCACCGTGCTAACACACCATATATGCGGAAATAACCGCAGCCAACAGCGACAAGAAGGTACATAAACACCTCAACTGCGACATAAACAAACTAATATCAGACGAAATATGAATAAATACCTTTGTTGAAGCTTCACGCATGTTGTTCTTGTCTCCCAGGCTCAACACGTCCTGCCTGCTTCAACGCAACAAGGAAGAGAAGTTGTTAATGTAGCCGAGGCTCTATTTATCTGCTTATCAAAACCACGTGTTTGGAAACAGGCAACTTCCGGTCCTGGTGCAGTAGTCCATACAAGAGCCTTATAAAAACTAATGTTAACATAAATCAAAAACCGCAGATTCAGGTTAATGCATATTTAGTGCTTATTATTCATTTATGAATACAAAATCCTTGTTATTTTTTAAAGAGAAAACTAGCACTGTACTGCAAAGTGTGTGAAAAAGAAATCACCTAAATAAATGTATACAATTTCTAATGCCTTAGAATTATTGGAAGAGCTGTTTAATTTATTTCTGAGGTATTTTAATGTTATAACTCTGTCTACAATGTGTTCTTCGTTATTATAAAGAGTATATTACTGATCATCACATGCCTGCCATTTATTGTTGTAGCCTGTAACCTTTCATATCTATTGTGTGTTCCTTTTTCGACTTTGGAAATTAACATGTTGGTATTTTCTTGAAACCAATAAACAGATGGGACAACAAAAAGATATTAAACTACAAAATGACGCATCTCCATAAATACGGAAGCCCTGTTGGTCCAAAAAGCCTCGACACAACTCACTGACTGACTGCTACACAGTCTGAAGGAAACTGTAACCTGCTGTGTCGTTTAGCTTTTTCATTCATAATTTGGAGCGGAAATCAACAAGGATGAGAGTTTTAATAGGTATGTACGTTATTTAATAAATATATCGTTTTATAAAGTCGCTTTGGAAAGGTCAAAGTGACATAACGTTACCAGCTATCTGTTAGCTAATGTTAGCTTTGCAGGTATAATTTGAGTATATAAGTAGTAGTACGTGTGCATTATGTGCGTGCAGAAAACTACAGCTATTCAAGCGTGTCAACTATTTGATTACACCTAGAAAACTGTCACTGTGTTTGTAATTGTTGCTAACTGTGCTAAAGTCCTGTTTTGTAAGCATGTCTAGTACGCATGCGCACTGGCACAATTACATGACTTCTATGCTATATGTGACATCCATACATTTATTGTTTCCAATTCTTTGTGTATAAATAGAGCAAATATATATATATATATATATATATATATATATATATATATATATATATATATATATATATATACTGAATTTCTTTGAAGTGAAAATGTATCTTTGCGTACCTTTTTAAAAAAAAAAAAAAATCAAACAAGCAGTGAATAAAACACACACACACACATAGAGAAGGTCATATTACACATGAAAGTAGTTAATTTGAAATTCATAATGAAAGATATTCTGCTGGTTTTCTTCATCTTTTCTGTATATAGCGACCTTGGGTCCCGTGAAAGGTGCTTTATAAATTCCATTTATTATAGCTGAGTCAAGGGTTTTTGGGGATGCAAACTATTTAGCTTGCAATTGACACGATCCTAGAAAGTTTATTCTACAGTTTTAAGAAACATTACCAGGCAGGGACGTGAAAAGTTAAGAAACCCTCTAAATATGAGTTTGTATTTTAGTTCCAAAAAACATAATAATGCAGCCCAATAAATGTGATTAAAACTTGTGTACATGTAAACTAAACCATATTTTCTCTCATTAATGGTAACTGATAATGTGTGCCTCTTTAGTTCCTCTGTTTTTATGATCATTTTTTTTATATGTTCTGCCCTGTAGGAGGGGGATCTGGCTTCGTTGGACGAGAACTTACTCGCCTGCTGAAAAACAAAGGTCATGAGGTCACAGTGATATCTCGCCAGCCTGGCCCTGGGAAGATAACATGGGTATGATCTCCAGTTAATTCAGAATTGTAGTCAAACAGTAGGGACCAATTTCATCTCTTATTGTGAGAAAAGTCATCTCCTGTCTGTTGAATCTTTTTTTATTTATTTAATTGGCTTTATTGAAGATAGTTATAATACATTATATATTTTTAAACGCCTTTCAAGACACACAATGTCGCATAATTTGAGATCAATGTGCTGTATCTACATCCGGAGTCATTCATACATTTATTTTCTTCTGTATATCTGCAGGGGGAGTTGGAGTCTCATGGCCTCCCACCATGTGAGGGTGCCGTCAACCTGGCTGGAGAGAATCTAATGAACCCTCTACGATGGTGAGCAATACAAAAAGAAGAAGCTGCAACCACTACTAATACAACTACACTCTTTCAGTAGCTAATACACTAAATGGTCAAATGTTTGCAAACGTTATTGTTCGGGATTGGCCTGTACAAAGCAGTGACTTTAGCCATATCCAATACATTTAGGAAGCACTACGAGTGAGGGCTTATCACAAAGATTCGGAGCAGACTTCGAAGGATATTTGTTGTAAATCCTTGCAAACAGGTTCTAAATCTGATGTCTGCTTACTTTTGAGTTTTGACCTGCTTTGAATTTCCCGTTAAAGTTGTTTTGCCCCCATGTCCTGATCCACTTAACATGTATATAAATTGACATTTTGATCATGCGATTTTTGTATGTGTTTTGCTGTTGAGACTGGGTCTCCACCTGATCAGTTTTTATTTGTGGTCTCAGGTGGAATGAAAGCTATAAAAAGGATTTATTCTCCAGTCGTATTGACACTACGAAATCTTTGGCTCAAGCCATTGCTGCTTCCCCCAATCCTCCTCACTCCTGGGTCGTGGTATCAGGAGTAGGTGAGTTTCTGCCTCATAACAAAACTGTATATTTAAATATATGTCAGTGACAATTATTTATATTTATATTTATAATGTCTCCTTTTGATCCATAGCTTGTTACAAGCCCAGTCTGATAGCTGAGTACACAGAAGAGAGTGAATGGACACCATTTGACATCCTCTCCAAACTCCTGAAAGAGTGGGAGGCCTCGGCTCTTCTTCCTGAGAATGTGACAAACACCACCAAACAAGTCGTCATCAGGTCTGGTACGTAAATGGAGCATATTTGACATGAAGTGACAGTAGAAACCTAGTAAGTTTAATTTTCATTAACCATATATTGAATCAGAAAATAGGCACATTTTTCATGTTAACAAAACAATAAAAATAACTTGGAAATGCAGGATAGTAGTGAGTTCCTATTCCATTTACACAACATTTATTTCACTGTTAATTGCAGGATTTCTTTGGGAGTTTTTTCCTTTTTTATACTGCGAGGGTGTAAGGACACACAGTGCTGTACACACTGTAAATCCCCCTAAGATAAATCTGTAATTTATGATATTGAGCCATATGTTTGTAAATTGTGTTATTTTCTTAAATGTTTGTATCTTAAATGTTTTTTTAATGCATGCTTCTTAGTTAACATTAAGCTGTATTTGGCTCTTTTCTGCTGTAACCCCTCTGTGGGACGAATAAAGGTATTCTGATTCTGATAATATTAAAGTATATTGATTGATTAAATGCACATAAATCTTGCCATGTGTCATCTCAAACATCCATTCCTCCCCCCCTCCTCCAGGGGCAGTTTTAGGCCGTGATGGTGGTGCCATGAAGCAGATGCTGCTCCCCTTTTGGCTCGGCCTGGGGGGCACCCTGGGGTCCGGACGGCAGCCGTTCCCCTGGATCCACGTCTCGGACCTGGCAGGACTCATCGCCCACGCTCTGGAGCCCCCTGCCGACACCCCCTCGCCTTCACAACAAGTGTTCAACGGTGTGGCGCCCGCTCTGAACACCAACCTGGAGTTCACTAAAGAGCTGGGCCGAGTGCTGAGGAGACCCACCATTTTCCCTGTCCCTGCCTTCGTCATGAACACCTTAATGGGCTCTGAGAGGGCCGTGGTCCTCATGGAGGGACAGAAAGTCATACCAAAGAGGACTCAAGAGGCCGGCTTTCAGTACAAGTACCCTGATCTGACCTCAGCCCTGAAAGAGATCGTTGAGAGTTAACAGATGTTGAAGGAACGTGTGCTGACTAAGAACTTTCTGTAAATGTGTGCTCATATTTACTGGATTACAAGATTTAAACAAATCGTGTCAGCTCAAATCAAGGATTCCTAGAAAATAAGACCAGTTAATAAATCCGATTTTTCCAGTTTGTACATACTAAGCATTAAAAATATATATCAGTTGGCACACAAATACAGGTGTGCATACATCACTACATCATAACATTTTGAAATGTGGTCTTTGCAATAGTCCACTTCTCTCTGTATTGTTTCCCATTCAATGGTGTGTTTGAACTTCAGAATTATTTCAGTGAACTGATAATTATCCATATTATCTGTGAGTTTTATTCTAAAGTACAGAAACATGCAGAAGGGGAAACCACTCATTCTACTTTTTATGCCTTTTGAAATATCACATTACTGTCAAAATGGCAGAATACATGTTACAAGACATGGATTCAGATTTGTTTAAGGTGTTGCACAATAAAGCATAGTAAAGTATGTTGTGATTTCTTTATTAAAGTAGTCAGAGGTTGTCAAATGAGTCGGTCATTTACAATCCAGTGAGGAAATGCACATGTTCTGTACAACTAAAAGCTGATTTCTGAGTCGTTCGTCAACAATTTCGGAGTGTTTCCATTGTTTCAAAAGTATAAAGTTTGAGTCTCTTTGTAGCTGAATCATCGCTCTGAATCACTCTCTGCGTCCTCATCGTCTCCCTGAAGCATCGGCAGTCGATCTCCCCAGTCGCTGCTCCGGGCGCAGCGGTACACATCTCTGATGGAAGGAAATAAAACAATGTTCAGTTAATTTGAGACGTACCGTAAGTCAGAAATGTGTCGTCAATATTTGGTTGATTTGTGGTCTTGTTCCCTAAAACTTTGATCAGACAAAGTTCCTGACAAATGACCAATTATAGATAATTATTTTATTTAGGAAAGGTTCTTGAAGAGCTGTTTGTGTTTGAGCAAAATTTTAAAAGTTTGGCTTCTTCAGTTATTTAAAATTGATTAGTGATGGGAATTACGGCTCTTTGAAGGGAGCCGGATCTTATGGCTCCGTTCCTTTCCGAGAGCCGTTCAAAAGAGCTGTTTCTTTTTTAAGGGGGCGGGGCTAATAGGTTTATCTGCTAAATAATCACCAGGATAATGATTGACTGTATTGCCAGAAACTACTTT